TTGTGTAAATCAATGATTATGGATTTACAACCGTAAAGGCAGAATAAGTTACTGAAGATAATAGTTCGCTCAAACATGTTTTTCTTCAACTCAAACATTGAAATTTAGTATACTTTTTTAATGGTGTAGCAACTTTTAATTTTGAATATTCCAGGTATAACATACCTGTCATCTTTTACAGTCTCCCGTTTCTCCATTTTCTTCACTTCAATAATTATTTTTATTACCTTAACTTTTTTCACACAATGGACTACTTTAATCTGGAAGATAACTATAAACACAGAGTGTGTTTATGTGAAGAACCAATAAAAATCAAAGAGTAATGAGTAGTTACTTAATGCTTGTTTCGGATATCACGATAAAAATATTCCTCCTTGGATTGAGTTAGTAGCAGTATATAAATGTATATAACAATGAACATGATATTAACTAAGCGCTTAATAGGATGGGTACACTACAGGAGATGTAGCGGGAATTTAGAACTACCCTTGAACTATATCACGACAGATAAGATTTTAATAAAGGATCTTGACGAAAAGCATTAGTGCTGTATGAGATAGTGAGATAAAGAATGTCTACTATTTAGTTGCATGTACTTTGTTTAAAAGCTTGGGTTACTGTTAAAATTACTGAAGAACTTCACTGTTTGTAAGCTATGTGACAAAACGTGGCGTACATTTTATGATTGACCTTCTCTAATCTCTAATTAAGAGGGCTAAATGGCAGTCTTAGTAGAAATGCAGGCTATCCTAAAGAAACGTATTACATTCAACACACCATCAGTAAGCCGAAAGTACTCGATTGTTCCAGGATCTTGATCATTAGCTAAAGGTTTTACAGTTACCACCATCCACCCTTTATTAAATTGCTGAAATTCTTGTCCCCAGAATTTCAGGCATATTTAACATAGTAGCTAAGCTACTGTCTATATTAACAATAAGTAAGCTGAAATAATCATGAATGTTTGAAACATATTATCAAATAAAGTCTAATACATACCATAATCAGTAACTTCGTTTTGCACTGTAAAGTTCAGATTTATCAAAATTTCATGATTTATTAAATTTTTTGTTATATTTTGAGTAGTTACTCACAATAGTAAATAAAATCAAGTTACAAAATGTGATTTACTGTATTCCAACTGATAAGATCAATGATAATATAATTTTTAAAGAACATGATTGCAGTTTATATATATATATATATATATATATATATATATATATATATATATATATATGTACAGCTTTGATGAACTAGAAATGAATCATAGTAGCTCTATTATTTAACTTACTTGCCATGAACAATTCATCGAATTGACTTTGTTCAGAACCTTTTTCTAAAGTCTATTAGTATTAACAGGCTGTAAGAAACTGAATAACACGAAGTGATATTTAATTCTGTAATCTAATAATTTAAATTTGGAATGTATAATTATTAAATTATTTCAATAGTTGAAATCATGAGTCAATTGAATCTAGACCACCATGGAAAATCTGGAAGCAACGGACGGCTGTTTCGTCCTTGTATAGGACTCCTCAGCAGCGCACATCCTCGATCCCGCCTCGCGAGATTCGAACTCAGAACCCATCGGCCTCGCGCGCCAACACATACTCTCTAGACTACTGAGCTGGCGGGCATTCAACGATGGATGCGCACTTCTGAGGCGTCACATACTAAGATGAAATGGCCGTTCAGTACTTCCAGGTTTTCCATAGTGGTCTAGGTTTAATTGACTCATGATTTCAACTATTGAAATTACTAAAATCTCCACAAAAGCAATTCAGATAGCATTAAATTATTGCTGTCTATCATTCAACAGATTATGCAATAAAATCCGAATTTAAATTTATTATACTTTAATTATTCTGTTTTATATCAATTATTTGTGTGGAATCCTATGAATCATATATATTTGATTTTAATTACTTAACGTCTATCAGGTAGTTTCAGATTTATACTTTAACAGTTTTATAAAATAATTTATTTCATAATTCATTTGGAGACTTTCATAAACCCTCTAAGACATTTTTTCTATATAGAAGTTAAGTTATTTAGGCATGATTCAATAATCTTCTATTCCATTGAGTAAATTTAAAATTCAATCTTTATTTCTGCTTATTGAACTTCCATTAAAAAGTGTGATATTTATTAAGTGAATTGCAATAATTTAAAATTTCATTATAAGCAGGGATAGGTAGCAATCAATACAAAAATGAATTAAAACTTCACCTAGTTACACAATATAGGGGCTATCATGGCTATCAGTAACTAAGTAGATAATGAGATGGCGTTCGAAGCAAGCGGTACTGGGTTCGATTCTAGAAGTGGACACCAACTGTGTGTTTCAGGTAAATATAGCTGACGAGTCGCGATTAGGACGAAACGCGCGTCATGGATTGCACTGTTAACCACTATTCATCTTTGCTTAAAATGCTCGAGACTTCAAGCAATATCAAGGAAATCCGTACTTGATGTACCTATGTCAATAAGAGACTGATCAATTGTAGTCCTAAACATCTATGGGAAGACTCAAAAAACCAATACAAAAATGAATTTAAAATTTCATTAAGATAAAAGAAATAAATGACTGTCAAATAATTACGAAAACTTCGTCTTTCTTTTTCTGGGTTGTTTCAAGCTACAAAATAATTCAGTTTTCAGAAATCGACTAAAGTAACTGAGTTACATCCATTTAAAAGAGAATAAAGATATTCAATGGTAATTTGAACATTTAGTGGCTCTGTATCTAACTCCATTTACATCATTCCTGATTATTATTGAAATATACATACTTCATCACTATTAACAAACGTGTAACACTTTCCAGTGTCTTCGTGTTTTTTGTTAGTAAATAAGTTTGTTGACAATTGTTTGGCTTTAATTTTTTACTTTGAATTGGATCTTCGACTCCAGTAACCCGAGCTTAAACCAAGGATGCTGAAGTGATCTTTAAACATCACAATAAGTAAAAAATAATTTCAATGCCTTAAATACTAAACCACAATTCTGTTCTATAATTTTAATTATACAATGCCCGAAAATCTTTTTGAAATGAAATGATTTGTACAATAGTCATTTTAATATGTTCTAATTGTTTGATTAATAAAAGTAGTATTGTCAACGTCTACATATTATGACTGAAATCCATAGAAACAATATTTAATGGGTGATAAGTTTTAAGTGTTAGTCTTTAATAAGCAAATGTAAAACATCATGTCAATAAATACTTAATTTTATGGAGTATGTTCAAAGTAAGTATGGTGCCAATTATTTGATTTTCGAGAAGAGGAAAAAATTTTGAATTTAATACATGAACATATGACTGTAAATTGTTGAATGTCTCCAGTTATAATAATTCATCTGAGTTTGACCCTGAATAGTTGATTTACACTTATGATTTGAAAAGAACCTAATTAGGTAGAATATTGTTTAGTTAATTTGTAAAGCGAAACTTATTTTCAGTATTAGAAATGCTTCTCACTAGAATATGATTGCTCAGTATCACGAACTGATAGAATATAGATATATAAGCCATAGAAGGCCAGTTCTGTGATCCCTAAATGAAACGCTTGCCATGAAACTGAATGTAGTGAATTCATAATGAAAACTGTAAAATTACTTTTAGTAGATTTTTACTAGTGTTTCCAAAATCAGATACTTCTTCCCCTGGGATAAAGATCGGTTTAAGTAACGTCATGTGTATTATATTCTATAGTGTATTACCAAAGATGCTCATGATTTTCTGGTCGATACTAATTACATACCTAGGCTGTATATGAATAAAAAATAAATCAACAGTTTAGGAAACAGAAATATTCAATCGAATAACTCACGCCTCTCACATCTATTGTGGTTAAGTAACTAAATATTTTGTTATTGGAATGATGAATTCTGGGAGCTAGTTCCGACGGCAACATCAACAGAATAAGATTCAATTATCTTCAGTTAATGAATTAGAAATAGAGCTAAGAGAATAATAAGGACTCACTTCTGATCACTATACCATTTTCACACAAGTAACCATTGTTCTACATATCAACTCAGAATACAAGTTCAATCAAGAATGAATAATCATTGAGTAGTTAATATATTCGTACATATCATGTACTTGTTTATCGCTTATTCAAATGGTGGAATTGAGTTATTTCCAATTATTTTAAGATCAATAATATTGACTAAAGTGTACGAATTGTAAAATTATCTTGTCACATAAGATTTGTGGCAATATATAAGCGTTTGAAACTCATTAATTTCATAACATTGCATATTATTAAGCAATTTTATCATGCCATGTGATTGGATGTAGTCTACAGAGATTTCTCGTTGTCTACCTCTTATAGCATAAAATCTCAGCATAGTCAACACGATATTGAGTAAATTCAGCTAGTCATTATATCACACTTGGGTTCAATAAGTAATACTCAATCAAAACTAAATGACCAGACAAATGTGTCATTGGTCAATTTCCATACTATGTTACCCAAAACTTTTTATTGCATATTCGAATGAGTTAGTATAAATTTACTTTAGTTCGTTTATAGTTTTAATGTCGAAGACCCCCCCCCCCCGAATCCGAGTGATTAGAACTCAGTGTTCATTGAATACATATTCTTAGTGAAGTTTTACGGAATCAAGTTTAACAGTAATAATTATCATATTCTATTCACTTTGTTGGCAAGCATATTTTACACGTATATAATTCATAATGTTTCTATTAGAAATTAATGACATGTGAATTAAATTTCAAAGTTTTAAGTGAAAAAAATTTTTTTTAATAAACTTGTAAACGGAATGATAACCATTACAATGATTAAAACCACGTGTTTATCTATTGTGTATCACAGTGTTTAACAACCGCAACAACAACAACAACAACGACAAAAAAATCACTTTCAAGAATTTAATTATGATGTTTATGTATATGTATGTGGATAAACATGTACAATTATTATTTAATCACAAATCAAATATATATATACATATATATATATAAAAGTCAAATACAAATGGTAACTCCTCATTGATCATAGGAGGTGTGGTTGACTACTAACAAATTACAGATTAAACATTATTACTTTATTTATACTACTTTCAATCAAATAATAAATAAACGATCTAATTCTATTGAAATCAATAAATTGTCAACTTCAAAATTATGGGATCTGTAAGTTTTCATATATTTACCGTGGAAAATTTAATTCATTTGAATAAACATAATATAAATTCATTTTGTATTGTTTATTTGAATCTTCCCATTGATGTTTAGAGCTATAATTGATCAGTCTCTTATTAGCACATATGCATTCTGTACGAATTGCCTCAATATTCACCTTTGGTTTTCTATTCAATATGAGATAATGTTTTATTGAAAAACTACAATAAACTCAAAAAACATGTTTAGTATTTTTTACAAGATGTCACAAGGAAAGGCTTAATTTTATGAGATTTATATTTATTAACATTTTTATTTAAAGTTAATCAATCTAATTAAATTAATCAATCAAATATTATGGGTGTATTGAATTGGGAAATATGAAGTTTCAACAGAACTTAGTTCAGGATAAAATAGTTTAGTTTGTTTCTAAGTTCAATGAACTAAACAGTTTTAATCAATATTGTAAAGTATGTTCATATCCTGAGGTTTAATTCAATAATTCACTAGACTGTTCATGCATATATATAGCACACTAATTATAATCATTGTTTACTTAATATGTAAATGGTTTTCTAGTCTATAAAATAATAAATGAAACCTTTGAATACCTTATCAATAGTATGAAGCGTTATGGAATTTCATTTAAATGTATTACATTTAAAGAACTATTAATTGAATTATACATTTAGTTGAATGAATTTCATTTAAAATTTATATTCAATTAATCTTTGAACTATACAAGAACTATTGTTTATATTATACTGAATAAATGGTTAATACTATTTCTGTTTTTTTGTGATGAATTGATCATTTTCCAGTTAGAAACTATATATATTATATGTATGAGATTACATAACAACAATGTTGAATAAGTGAATCATTAAATTTGTCAATGATTCAATGTGTTTATTAACGTGACTCGAGTAATGATTAAGATATTTGCATATAAATGATTATGAAAATACTAATAGGAAGTTGAAGTTAGACATTAACACCGTTGGATGTTAGCTCAGTGGTCTGGATTTGAATCTCGTGGGTGGCGGGGTCGTGGATGTGCACTGCTGAGGAGTTCCATACTAGGACAAAACGGCCGTCCAGTGCTTCCAGGTTTTCCATGGTGGTCTTGCTTTAATTGACTCATGATTTCAACTATTGAAATTAATAGGGAAGTATTACATTTTATAAGTTATTTATTTGAGTAATGAAATCATAGGTCTTTCTTATACCAGGAATTAAGTGCACAATATTAAGATGTTTTTTTAACTTTTCAAATGTTCATTGGTTTACACCTATAACTAAGTGATTATTCTTCCAATGTCTAACTCATTCGATGTTTAAAGTAATGGCATCTAATGTAAATGATTAATCAGGCGTTAGTATACCAGCACAAGAATGATGTCATTTATAACAATGGATTCTGATAATATATTAATCTTTCTTCGGTTAAGTTATTTCGATAATTAGTGATAGTTCATATTATACGGTATAGTTGTCATGATTTACAGTAATCATTCTGAAAAACCATTAAAAATTATGAAAGTGTCTGAGAAATCTTGATATTCATACTTATTTTACGCACAATGGTACTTCGAAACTACGTTAGAACTAATTTTTCAGTTTATTGTCAACTACCTCATTGTTGAATAGTACTGTAGATTCTAGAAATTATCGTAAACATTGGTAAACGAAATAATGATCAGTCGTGAAAGAAATCAGTAAATTGTCAACAAAATATGTTGTCTTCAATGAAAATTGTATTTTTTTTCAGAAGGTGCTTTATGATAAACAACAGATCCAACATATGTGCTCAAATAACATGATAATGTAAAACAATTTTGGATTAAATACATCTATATTTCAATTAAATTGGAAACTATTTAGTTATGATGTATGTAAGTTAAGATGAACGGAGTCAGAGTCAACAGTTCAAAAACCTAGTTCATTGCATGTTTCGTTTAGCCTTTGTCATGCCTGATCAATTTACACCAAGGAGATTTTTCATTTTTTTAACCTAAAAATTAATATCCGTATTGGTTGTTTAAAAGATATAAGAATTTCATTTCACATAAATTCTCGTAACGATCTGTAATTTATGACATTGAATTTTCTCAATTAAATTGTATGCTTATAAGGTAATCATCTGTTTAAAGCCAGATTCATCAAAACAATGGATGAAATGACAGAATTTTTAGCGAAAGCTAATAGATTATGTTGTACTGTAAACTCACTACATACATGTACATTTTAGTTATCTATAGAACCGACTTAATGTTTTATTATGTAATTAATTATTGTATTTTACATAAGTCTATGGATTGACACTTGTCTGCGTATCTATGGACTCGTAAATGAATGAACTACTAAGTATCCGTATATTCTTTACTCGTTTTTTTGTGTTACTTATTTTCAAGATCATAATCTTTTTAAGTTGAATTGATATTAACAGTTATCAGTATTTACTAAAGTGAAAGAAATGTAAACTTTTTTCAGTTTTACGTTACTAACATAGATAACACCAAAGAAGTTAGCTATTTAGTCTAGATTATTTCATTCGACTTGTTTTGTGTCCGTTGATTTGTATATTAAAAACTGAATGAGTTTTATGCTCTGCAAACGATGTCAGTTTTAATACATCACTGTAATCTGTTAGAAAACAGTTATTTTTTCTATACAGTTATTAATTTTACAGCATAACTGACATGTTAGAGCATAGTTATGCTTCAGTAAATTAAGTTTGGAGCAAACTGATTATATCAATATTTATGATGGTTCTATTAAAATTAAGAATTTGATTACTGTGTATCCGTTTTTTTATACCACTCAGTTTTATATACGTAGAAATTGGACTGTTATACTTGAATCCATTCATAACTTAGACTTACTGTAAAAGACAATCCTGTTGATTAAGGATTATCATGTAGTTACTTTTTCAATGAGTTTAAAATATAATATGAGAAAGGCATCAGTAGACTATACTTAATTTTGACATTGGACAGTTCTTAAGAATTATTTTAGGACATTATTTTTAGGACATACAGGAAGTAAAATTTCAAGTTCTGCCATGACTCTTGTGTTAACGTACCTGATTGGTGGTAGCTACTGAACATCTGCAGTATATCGTTGATTTCAGTACCTTCGTCAAACTTGTTGGAATTATTCTACATCGGAACCTATCTTACGAAACTGGGATCTAAGGGTTCATATTTTCAGTCAGTAGGAGGCAAGGGGCACTTTTAATTATTATCACCTCTGGATTATCAACAAAGTCTGAACTTGATTATGTACACAGTTCACTGTTGTTGAGGTAACCAACTTCTAAATACATGAGTATTATTAAATAAGATGAACTGTAAAGATTACATTGTGCCCACTTTGAAGGTCGTTAATGTTATCCTGCTGAACTAAAATGAGATACCTGTTTGACGGTTACTAGTTCTTAACGATCTTTCCTCAAACATCAATTTATGATACAAAATAAATTTATCACAAAAATATTTGTTCCTAAAAAACTAAAAACCAAGATGTTTATTTGTTTATTTACATTTTCAGAAGAATAAAAGGTTCACGAAATCGTTAGCACTCTCTGTATTCTTGACGTGTTTAGGATCATCCTTTACAATTGGCTACAATTTAGGAATACTAAATTTGCCAGGAGAGGTAAGTAAATTACATGTTTGAAGAAAATGATTTTTTCAACATACTAACTGAATGATCTGGAGAAATGACTGAAACAATTCAAAATATTCAGTAAAGTTATGGTAGATTAAATTGTGCATTCTATTTCAACTCAATTCATTAATAAAACATTAATGATTGACTAGATATTGAATTGATGTAGTATATGTCACTCGCTTTGACAGACGTTTATTCCATCAACTTGCATTAGTATTAACGATTTTAAGTCTTAATGAATGGCCAAAATGAAGAGTGAAGCCTTAGATTCATACGTCATACAAAATACTGAATAAGTGATTATCTTTGTAAGGCGAATAAATTTGTTAGCATGTTGTAGCATTAAAATGATTAGCATTCAATCTGCACTAGGAAGGACTTGACACACATGACATTGATCACCACCCAGTGATCAGTCAATTGTAAATACATCTCAATACTACAGGAGTTCAATCGCGGCTCGATAGCCAAGTGAAGATGGATAACACGCGATCGAATCCGTCAGGGAGATTACAGGTTCACCTTGGTGATAAGTGCGAAGTAGCATGAAACCCGGGTCCAGGGTTTCCGGTTGAATACCTCAAACCGCCATTTTATCTCAACATAGTGCACGCAATATCAAGTCACCCAGACTAGTGGCCACATTGCAACTTGGTCGATAGCATTCGATCTGCAATAAGAATGACATGAAACACATGACATTGATCACCACCCAGTGATCAACCAATTGTGAGTTAGTACATAATGTATGTTTGAATAATGATGTAAATCAAGCATGATTATAACATTGGTAATTGTGAATTAGAATAAAAGGCATAATATTTTTATTGAAAATTTGATCATTATAGGTTGATGTCAACTTTCATGTTTCAATGTTCAAGAAACATATTGTATCTAGCACTTCTCACCACTTTCTTATCCATGAAGTGTATGATGACTAAATATTCAAGTGTAAATTTCATTAGAAACTTCACTTCAAGATTCTAAATTTCAACATTTTTAAGGTTTTCAACCTGTGTGTTTGGATGAACTACACTGACATGTTAATAACTCATATTCTTTGGGTAAATTCAAAGGACTGAAACGAAATGTTTACTAAGTAATTTAATCCAATATACAAGAGATGAAGTGATACTAACTAATTAGAAACTAATTTACAAGAAAATATTTATTTAAATGTGTTAGTTACTAAGATGGTTCATAGTATTGTTAGTAAAAGAAATTTAACAAATTTTGAATTAAAATTCAGTTAAACATTATGTGGAATTATTGAGAATTAAGTTAGATGTTTATAATTTATTGATTACTTGAATTCCACAAATCATTGTCTCAATTATGTCATCAATATTGATTGACATATTTATAATACCATGGTGATAATCAAATAAACTTCGTATGGAATCCAGTTAATCTGTGTTGTTTAACTTTCATTTATAGTTCGTTATCAATTTTATAATGAACAATATATTGATTAATTGCCTCTAATAGCCAGCCTCTAGAGGCTTTGTCACTTGGCCCTATATTTTGTGACTATGGAAATATCTTAATTAAGACAATATTTCATGTTTAATAGTTTTCTTTTTAGTAAAAAAGTTATTCTACTTGACTTACATGATTATTTATAGTTCTCATGATTATCTAACAGTTACTGTATGGATTTTATCACTGATAATATTTTAAAGAATTATGTTTTTTTTCCTACATTTCTATAGCATATTAAAGAGTTCTTATCTCGTACTATGTTGGGTAAAAATGCAAGTGTAGCTGAAAATACAACAAACCTTGTGACACCAAGTTTTTTATATGCTCAAGTTAGCACAGCTTTTGTAATAGCTGGTGCAATTGGAGCTTTCAGTTGTGGTGCTATAGCTGATTGTTTAGGAAGGTAAATAATGGTTTAATTTAATTATAAATGGTGAAACCATAATTTTTGGAAGAATCAACCAGACTTATGATAGCAATTCTTGGATTTTGGCGCAAAATTCATCCACTCATTTGGTTAAATATCATTTTGGTATTATATCTGATATCACTTCGTGATGAAAACATTAAATCTTATTCCTAACCCTAACTTTGAACTGTAAATCCTAGTCCTGATTCCTCACATTGATCTATAATCCTCATTTAACCCTAGTAGGTAGATGAACAATCCAAGGTCGTTTTAGCGCTGCTTAAAAATCGTCCATAAACTATAGCCTCACCTTAAAGATTATAAACACTTTATTATGAATATTTGATTGACACTGTTATTAGCACGTATTTAAACGATCATGTTTATTCAACTTATTGTTTTCAAACTGTAAACTTGAATCATTAAATAAGTCTAATCCAAATGACCTCCTTTATTGATAACTTCGGTTTCAACATTTGATTATTTTGAAAATAACTCAGTAACACCAAAATAGATTAAATTTTGCATTCGTGTGTTAAATAGGCACAAATTTTTTAAAAAAAAACTATGCACGGATATATCTATAAGTGGTTAAAACTCAATTCGATTGACGACATGCTGCAGAACATTTTGTGCACTAAATAAATGGAAAAATCACATCTTTTCTGAAAGGTTATCATACCTTAACTGCGTCATAGAATAACGTAACACTATTTAGCTTTCATAAGCTTTTTCACGTACTTAATTAAGTATGGCTATCCTTGATAATTTCGTAACATTATATTACTATAGACTACTCAATGTAAAAAAGACTTATGATTACGATTGTACAGCTTAAGAAAATGACATTGTCGAGAAGAAAATTTACTCTACTGAAACATCTTTGTACGTTGAATAAAGCAATGAGACATTTCAGTGACTAAAACTTTATATTTTTCGAATTAGTTCAAAACTATATCATCCATGTTTACTCTTTCGTGTTGTTTGTTTTTTAAGAAAATTACTAAAATGTTCACTTATTTACTTTAATAGACGTAATGGTCTGATAGTAAACAGTTTACTTGCAATTGCTGGAGGAATAATAGTTGGTCCATGTGTAGCATATAGTCAACCTGCATTACTATTTGTCGGACGTGTTTTAAATGGATTCAATTTTGGAATATCAATGGGAATAGCACCAATGTATTTGACAGAAATAGCTCCCTTATCTCTTCGTGGTGGAATTGGTTCATTGCATCAGCTTGCTTTGACTATCGGGATACTTGTATCCTACTTAGCAACATTAACATACACATTAAATACACCAACTTTATGGCCTATATCTGTCGCTGTTGGATCAATTCCTGCATTAATTGCATTAATACTTCTACCTTATTGTCCTGAAAGTCCACGTTTTTTATTTATAAAAAAAGGAAAAGAAGCACAAGCACGTAAAGCCTTTCAGCGACTTAATTGTATAGATAATATCGATGAAACATTTGATGAAATGAAAAGAGAAATGAATGAAGCTGAAAAACGACCAAAATTCAAATTTTTCAAACTTTTCACTCAGAAAGATTTACGTATGCCAGTATTAATTGCTTGTATCATACAAGTATTTCAACAGCTTTCTGGAATTAATGCTGTTAGTTTTGAACCCATTTATTTTTAAATATTTTCGTTTGATGATGTATTATTAATTATAGCAATTAACTCTATTGGTAGAAATTATAGGTTTCCAACAATCAAATATTTATGAATGAATTCTTTGGTTAACATGATTAAGAAATTGATTCTTATATTGTACTAATTGAAAATCAAAGATATCATGCATGTATTGTCAAGTTAAGGAACTTTGTAACATTATAGTGTTGTGTTATAGAGGTTTAAACAAATTATGCTAGTGAACTAGAACATGTAATGTGTTTAAGAAAATAAGCTTTTACATCAGTTAAATGCATCGAAATTGTGTCATACTTGAATTGGAAAAGTCATTTACTAAAGGTCTGAATGATTCCTTGTAAGGTATAATCAGTGTGATAGGAAAAAAATAAATCATTTGAATAAAATGAATAGTAGGAGAACTTTCCCTGGATAATGGACAATAATTATAGTAATAATAACAATAATGACGTCGTATAAGAAGAGACGTTTTGTCAAAATTATTATGGTAAGAAATTTATGTGAATTGGGAAATATGAATGTGTAAATTAAGAATGGAACAGAATAAAAATAAATGGAATTAGGGCGGAGGTAAAGGGTTTACAATGTCTAGTTGTAGTACATGATGACCCAATCTTCAGAGAGAGAACATATCTCTTTTGAAAACATAATTAAGGTCTTCAGAGGTTGAAACTGACGGTTTGAAATCTGATGCAAAGTGAGAAGGCTTCATCTTTTTTAAGATGATATTCACTATTTGCCAAGTGGGAAAGCTTGGAATTATTAAAAGATTTACTGACAACTTTTATCAAGTACGCCAGTACTTGTTAACAGGTACTCAAGAATAAACGGCTCTGAATACGGCTTATGCAAGCAAACCTGCTGGAACAGTTGAATTGGTAAGACACATGAAGGAGACCATCGCTGCTAACTTATCGTCGATTCGTTATGTAAATAATGGTTTATATCTTATCGGTGTGAAATGTCCTGTTAACAGATCATCTCAGTTGATATATTAAAATGTTACCCACTGTATTCCCTTTAAGATCGAGATTTAGACAATTAGTTTTTTGATTGACCTTATCGATATTCGGCCCATTTTTCTGTTATGTTAGATATCTTTTGACATAATCACCCGGATAGCTGTTATTCCATAGAGTATTCTTCAGTTTATACATATATGTATACTAGCAGAAGAATAAATAATCAACAAATAGTTGATACTAAACCGACCAAGCTATGTAGCTGAAAAGCAAAGCAATACATAATTCACAGAAGGTTAACAAAATATATAAATTCATTTATTTTTACAAACTAAATTTTTTATCTGGTTTTCTCTTTCAGGTAATCACTTATTCTTCCACAATGCTTAAAACTGCTGGAATTCCATTAATGTATATTCAGTTTTGTGTAGTTGCTGTAGGAGCAATTAATGTGTTAATGACTGTACTTTCGGTATATTTAATTGAACGTGCCGGACGTAGAACTCTTCTTTTATGGCCAACAGTACTCCTTGCTTTTTCATTATTATTTTTAACAATATCAGTGAATGTAGCAAGTTCAACAAAGGATGCAACAACAGCTCGAACAGCTGGAATAATTTCAGCTGTTCTTATAATTCTATATGTTTGTGGTTTTGCTTTAGGTTTGGGTCCAATTCCTGGTGTAATTGTTGCTGAAATATTTAGACAAGAACCAAGAGCTGCAGCCTATTCTCTAAGTCAAGGAGTTAACTTATTATGCAATTTATTGGTGTTATTTAGTTATCCAAGCATTAATGTGAGTAATAAATCTATAAAATTACTTTCTAAAGATTAAAGTATGATTTAAACATTTCTTGCTACTGAATGTATTTGATAATAATGATTAAAGTTAAAAGAAAATATGAATTGGAATAAGACTTTAACACATAGACTCTGAGAAACTGGAAAAGTGGTCATATTATGAAATGTCATCACTCATTTACTGACCATATCCTAAGTTCACTCGGATCATTATTTCAACATTATTATTATGATGTGTTGAATAAGACTATTGTATATATCCTACATGAATAACGTAAATAGCAACTGTGGACTGAATGCGTCTGAAAAAAGTTTTAACGAAAATAGGCAAATCTCACTTCTGACACTTATTCTATCTAATTATTTAATAAATGATTACAATGCTATTGCAGTGTGCGCTTTGTATGTGAACAGATATAAATAGTATGTAGCAGGAATAGGAAGTGGAATGCTTACTAGCAGAAGATTCCGATAAGGAGAACAAGAAAGAAAACGGAGTGCAATCGGAATAACAAGAGAATAACAGAAATGATAGAGTATGTAAAAGACAACTTGAGAAAAATGCTCAATAAAGGTATCTAATGTATGATTTACATATTTTATAAAGGCACTATGTGATTTTGCATAAAACGGTAAACTGTTTTCCCTTACCTGAGTTTTCATCCATTGCTCTATGACATAGTTGAAAACTGTTGTTAGTTTGAAAGGATGAAAATATTATTTTCAAACTAATTCAAAGGCATTTATTTTGAAAAAATCGACCAATAGGATAGTATGCTAGTACTAATTACAAACTTTACTAGGTAGAATCAGGTAACTTAATCACCATTTTATTATAACTTGAACTGAGCTAGTCAAATTTACCAAATTATTAAAACTATACCTGGCAAATTATTATATCTAAAATTCATAGCATGGAAACATTGTAAAAAACGTGACGAAACACTCAAGTCTTGTGAATCCTGATACAAAAATGATAGATTAGTGTCAGTTAAACATTTTAGTATTCGAAGTGATTAATTAAAACCGTCTTACTACAACGATTTTATACGTTTGTATCAAACATATAAAACTTAAAACATATCGGTTAGATAATTATAACATTTTATTTTATCAGCTGAGTCATTCAAGGAATTATCACTTGGATTATTTCCTTAGCTGCTAATTTATAAATGCACCTCATCTTGATAGAAATTAAAGTCAACTACAGACTATATCATGTCGGGTAATAGTTACACTTAAACAATATATATAAAACCAGAAAGAAATGATAATATACATTCATGAGAAAGTACATTTTGATTGATTTTCAAAAGAATGAGAAACATACTTATTTTCATCAATATTCAAAAGTTACATCAATTGAGAATAAGTATTTTCCATAAGATTACCTGTCAATCAGTGAAGAGATAAAACGTATTATCAAAAGATGAGCTAACACTTCTGAATCGTGTAGTTTACCTCTCAAGGAATTAAGTACAAATAAATATTGATTATTTCTCTCATAAATTTTAAAGAATGATAAATCTATTAAAATAAAATTCAACTACATAATACATTTTTATGTCTGAAACGGTAGGTAATTTGATTTTTAAATCACTAATTATATACAAATCGAAAAAAACATACATTTGTTAAGTATATGAATGTAAATAGTAAACGTCTGAACAAGGAATTGTCATATGATCATTTATTGTAACAATGAGAAGACTATTCGCATTCTTTTATGGTGTAATTTTATTCTTAACTAATGAACGATGTGAATAAAAATTATAGTGTAAAACCATATCACTTAAAAAGGTTATAATGAATGATACAAATATAAAGCAGACCATTCCCATCGGGGTGATTACAAATATCAGCATTATATATATATATATATATATATATATATATATATATATATATGCCACAAACTAAGGGACTTGATCTCGAGTTTTAGAACTCATCTTGATTGTTATTAGCAGTTACCAAGACAGCAGTTCTAGCTATACTGTATAGTTGTATGGCACAATTTTCGTTGTCAAATCACGTCATACTTCTCTTCCAAACTAAGGAAAGTTGTTCAAATATTCCTGTTTATAATATGAAATTCCCTTAAGCGAATACAGAAATTATTGTTGAATTTCTTAATTAACATTACGCGTTGGTCTTAGTTAGAGACATATTGACAACCAGGAAGCATTGAGCAACTATTTTATCATAGCATTGGATTTTATCAGAACTTTATATTTAGATTATTGAAATGATATTCAGTTGTCTACATTTTGTATTTTCGGTATATTACAAAAAAATCAAGTAATCATCTATAAGAAAATACTATACTCCTAATTTCCGTGAACTTCATTAATGATACATAATCGTTATATAAATGAACCATCCCATTTTCATATTATATAATATTATATTCATTGAAGTTATCTGTTTCGATTTTTACTTTTTATATCACTTTTCTCTTTTTTTTCTTTCTTTTTTTTAAAGGATGCAATTGGTGGTTATTCATTTTTACCATTTTTAGTAATAGTTATTATCTGTTGGATATTCTTTTATTTATATATGATTGAAACAAAGAATCGTACATGTGATAGTAATGCAAGAGATTTAGCTTCACCGAAAATTGTTGCTTGTCAACGTCCATCAAGATTAAGTTATAAAAATGAAGAACCATTTTATTCAGATGAGTAAAATAAATTTATTAAATATAAAAAAAACAAACAAACAACTGACTCCCTTCACACACACACACGCTCTCACCACCCGCCCACCCCAAAAAATTGACCATTTTCAGATTGATCTTTATTTGATTATTCATTTTAAAACTGTAGTTTTTTTTGGTTTGTTCATATGTGGTATTATTATCTTTAATATTATCATTGATTTCTTTATGCTTTCTTTCGACAATAAACGTTTTTTTAATTGTTTGTTTATTTTTGAAGAAATAATTCATTATTTACATACATCACTCTACTGCATTTTCTTAATCTATTTATCTTAATAAGATTTAAATGAGAGGGAAAAAAATTGAGATGATCTTTCAATAACAAATAATTTAAATGTTTCGTTACATAACATTATTCCTATTGTAAATATTAATAATATTAATTATAATTATTACATAATAATCAATGATTTTTAATTTATAATCTATTCCCCTCACATACAAATGTTTCTTTAAATAATTTTATTGGTTTTATTTTACTTGAAACATTCGATGAAAAATCTATTTCATAATTGATTATTTGATAATAATGAATATAACTTATAGATTGAAATGTAAAGTTATTTTATTTAACCATTGAAATAATTATGTTATACATTTCATCGCAGTCTTAAACAACAGTCGGAAGAATCAAGCAAATAATACAATGTGAATGCAAAGTTCATCCCAATGCACAAGTAGGTAGCTATCAGGACTCTTTTACTATTGGTTTCTATTCTTACAAAATTTAGAGAAATATTCGCACTCTCTTAACTCCGCCTGTGGCTTTTCTAGGTCTATTTCCGTTCCAAAGTGCGAGTAAACGACAAGGGTTAGGAATGGGTCGACATCTCTATCCTGTAAAAAACATAAACGTCAAAAAATCGCTATACAGAATAAATAAATTAAACTATTTAAAATCCGCACTATGATAGCAACAATGATCAGTTACACAATAGGCTTCAATCGATCATAGCGAAGTGTACAGAAATGGAACTGACCATCCTCACAAGAGACCTAAACGTCAAAGTCCGAATGAACAACACCACTTAGGAAGTTACAACTCAACGACATGCATTGACTAGGAGAATGCAGGCAGAATATTGATAGAGTTGCAAATTTATGAACATTCAACAAAATGGTTACAGTCCGAACAATATTCCCCCACAAATGCATACACAAAGCTACATGTGTCTCACCGAATCACATCACGCAGAACCAGATCGATTATAATTACATCACTCAATAGTTCAGAAATTCAATGGAAAGTGTGAGAAACAGGAGAGTAGATGGCATAGCTTCAGGTCACCACCTGGTGGTTGCCAAGATGAAACTGAAGCTAGAGAAGCACTGGACAACTGGACAACAGCAGTACAAATCTTCAATACAGACTTCCTATGAGATGCTGACAAACTCGACGAATTCAAGATTACTTTCAACAACAGCTTCTAAGCCTTACAAGATCTACTCACAGAAGAAGAATCGGCTATGGAGGACAATTGCAAAGCAGTCAATGAAGCACTAACTTCAACGTGTCAGGAGGTGCTGAGCCGCAAGAAGCATCATCATATGAAATGGATCTCTACAGAAAGCCTGTACAAAATTCAAGAAAGGAAAATAAAGAAGAGGTTATTAAAAACAGTCGAACAAGAGCAGAGAAAGTCAAGACATATTCTGAATACACAGGATCGAACAAAAGAGTGAAAATAGGCATTAGGACCATGGGAGACATTGCAACGACGATGGAAAGAATTGAAACAGAAGAAGACATGAGATAACTATGTGGTACAACGGAGAAACTGGTAGTTAATCAGAGAGACCGGTCAAGGACAAAGAAGGAAAGCCAATCACTGAAATCCAAGAACAGAGTAAACGATGAGCTGAACACTTTGAAAAACTCTTGAATAGGCCAGCTCCACTGAATCTACCAGACATCGAAGCAGCATATACAGATCTACCAATAGATGTCACTCCACCAACGATCAAAGAAATCGGGATGGCTATGGGAAAAATCGAGAGCAGGAAACTAGTAGGAACTGACAATATACCAGTTGAAACACTCAAGTCAAACATAGAAGCAAGTGCAAACATGATCCACGTTCTATTCGGGAAGATTTGCGAGAAAGAACAAATACCACCGAGAGACTGCAAAGAAGGATATCTCATCAAGATTCCAGTGTGTGAATAGGAGAACATCATGGAAACTTTTACGATAATATGGGTACCTGAAAAGATTGTCAACATAACTCGAAATTTTTACGACGGACTGCACTTCAAAGTTTTGCATGGAGGACAGCTAACAGACGCATTTCAAGTGAGAACCGGTGTCAGACAAAGATTCTTACTCTCTCCCCTTCTTCTTTCTTCTGGTAGTTGACTGGATTATGAAAACCTCAACATCTGAGGGGAAGCACAAAATACAATACTCAATGTGTATAACCCAAGTACCATGAGCAACAGCCTACTATGGAATAGGACAAACAAGCTTCCATCTGAAGAGGAAATTAAAAAAAGACAGTGGAAGTGGATAGGACATACATTGAGGAAATCCACAACCTGCATCACGAGGCAAGCGCTAATATGGAATCCTAAAACTAAACGAAAAAGTGTTAGGCTAAAGTACACACTGTGTCGAGAATAGGAAGCAGACATGAAAATGATGAATAGCAACGGAAAGAACTGGAAACTTTTGTTTAGGACAATGATGGATGGAGTATGCTCTTAATTCACTCAATTCATCAAAACAACCATCAAATATGTATCTTCTCGTGTATAAGATTAGGAAGACGTTAGCATCTTCATGAAAAGTTTGTATTGAGGATTTGTAATGCTGTTGTCCAGTTGTCCAGTGCTTCTCTAGCTTCAGTTTCATCTTGGCAACCACCAGGTGGTGACCTGATTCCTGGATTCTACTACTCATCACCAGCCATATCTGTTCATAAAGCTTGTGACTTTAGGCAATATTGAAGCAATCTATACAGGATACACATATGAGACTGATCAACTACAGTCGTAAACATCAATGGAAAAATTTAAGTAAACAATATCAAGTGATATTTGTCTTTATTCGAATTTCTTTTAGTTAAAGTCAGTTGAGATGAAAACTTTGTGTGTTCAGTTCTGTTTACTATTAAAATGATTCAACTTGTTAGTAAGTTGTTTGTTGTTGTTATTGTGGTAGTAGTGGTGGTCATTGTTTTGTTTCTTTTACTTCCTGATTGTTTATTTGACCTGATTTGAAGGACATATTCCGCTTTTTTTTTCTACTATTAATATTCTACCTACATTCAAATAGAACTCAAATGACTTCAGTTGAGAATAGTTTTTTTTTTAAAAAAAAGAAGCAATCATAAGATACTCCATATTATGATTTCTTGAAGTTTAACAAAGTAGTTTATTGTGTGTGTGTATGTGTGTGCGTATTTAAATTGAAGTAACTTTATATACACATAAGGAATGTTCATTGTGGTTAAGAAACAATCTATAAGGTAATTCATCTTTGAAAATTGTTATGTATAGTAAACCGACTAGAAATTAATGAGTTTACTATATGGAAATGTATTTTTTTTAAAAAAACAAACAAACAGAATATTTTCTTATTTGATCTTCCTTTTGTTATTATTATTTAGTATATTGTTTATCGCTTTTGTAGGCTTCAACAAACTAAGCCATATTTGTATAGTTAAAAGATTATGTAATAAACACAAGAAGTAAATTAGTAAATAATGATGATTTTTTCTACAGTTATGACATGAAAAGTAATTTCCTGACATTAATTCAATTTTTTTTTATTGTCATAATCAGAAATGGAATATAGGAATCTTAGTAACAATTTACATTTATCAGAAAGGGTTTTATGGAGATTTTAGGAATTTCAATATTTGAAATCATGAGTCGACTGAAGCTAGACCACCATGAAAAACCTGGAAGCAATGTATGCCCTGGTATGGGACTCCTCAGAAGTGCGCGTCCACCACTCGGCCCCCCGCGAGATTCGAACCGACGACCTATCAGTCTCGAGCCTGGTGCTTAACCAACTAGACCATTGGGCAGGCAATCAACGGTGTTAATATCTAACTTCCATGGTGGCCTAGCTTCAATTGACTCATGATTTCAACTATTGAAATTTACATTTATATTAAGAAACCTATATATGACACCAGTTACTGTGGTAAGATAGAATCATATTTTGTAAATGTTTGTGACTATATACTAATAAATAAATAATGGAAATCATTTTAAATATTTTTTGTCAATGTTGTGTAAACTTTTAGTAAATTGAGTTAGCAATATTATTGTGATATCAGTTATTATAAGCATGACATTTCACATTAACTTTATGGTAGTTTATGGGACTACATTGTTGACTTCAAGAGTTTGATTTGTTTTATAGTAATGGATTTATATACAATTCAGAACTTTAAAACTTCAATAAAGTCATTATAGTTACCATGATCTCTGATGGGTTCAAGTTTGATATCAGCCAAAGAACAATTAAAAAATATATAATTTTCGATTAAACAGTAACCAGATCGTTATAGATATGTTTGACCAGGAAACTGTAACTTCTCACTAATTATTATATCTTGCGATCAGATAGGATTTAGAATACTTAATCATGTAGAGTACAGTGAAACTGAATGTTTTCTTCAACGTCGAGTGAAATAGATGTTATACATTACTGAAAAGTCATATTACAAGAAAGAAAAAGTACGCCCTATAACTTATTTCCACTAGATTTTAATCCGAGATACGTACATTATACAACCCATGTTTTTGCAAATCTGCGTTCCTATCTTATGATCTAGAGAGCTCAAAATTTAACGTCAAGAAAATTGACCATACTACTGACTTATTTAACTGTGAGACTGTGAAATGATTTTCTAATGCATATTTAAAGTCAATCATACGGTAAAAAGACACTTACATAGAAGTGTTGAAGAGTTTTAGAATCGATTAATCAAAAATTTATTTCCGAAAGCGTCTTTTTAATATTGTGAATTTAAATCTTGAAAATGCGTTCTTTAAAATTTTATTTTGCAGAAATTAATTCTTCGACATTTGCTTAATTCATGATTTATATAATGCAAAAATGAAAATTATATTGAGTCGGTGTCTTTCTGTACTAAGGAGTTAAGTAGCCAACGATAGGCTATTGGTTTAATTCTTAGAATTGACAACAACACTGAGATGCAGTTCATCTATTCAATGAAATTTATCCTTTATTCCGCTAGTAGTCACCATCTTAAGTTTAAAAAATATTTGGTGCTTTTTTTGTTATATCTTTTTTCTACTCACGAGTAGTAAAAAATAAGACATAGATTTTATGAAGATTTGAAGGAAAAATGTCAATGAAATAAAATTATTAACAGAATGGAAGCTTGTGGAGATTGTAGTAATTTTAATAGTTGAATTTATGAACAGATCTAAGCTAGATCATCTCTGAAAACCAGGAATCACTGGACGGCAGTTTCGTCCTTATACGGGACTTCTCACTAGTGTTCATGAGTACCTGGCTTCAGAATGGATTTCTTGGAGGTTTAATGGGAGGCCGTGACCAACGGAGTCAAATCCGTATTGGGTAGAGACAGTTATCTACCTCAAACAATAGATGAATGGTTATGCATGATCATGGATTGCTTGAAGTCATAGATTAATACATTTGGATGCCAGCTCAGTGGTCTAGAGTTTTAGCGTTCGCGCGCGAGACTGAAGATCCTGAGCTCGAGCCTAGAACGTAGAGTCGTGAAAATAAAATTAGTTGTAGTCGTGTTTACACGATATGATAAAAATTTGGGATGTTTTGGTTCCTAATGGCTAGCTATGTAACTGGTTACTACACTTACTTCATAGTGAAACCAAACTTGGTGAATAGGTGTCAACGACACGATTACAGAGTATAAGAATATAGTAAGTTAGTGAAAAAGATTGTAAATAAAAGTAGGACTTGATCTGAGGCTATAATATGGTACTAATGAAAATATGGACGGAGTTTTCAAATTGCAGCTTATTTCTAGGATATAATGAATTATTGTTAACATGATATGTAATTTGAAGATAACAAAGATGTTCGATGGTTGGGTATGGTTGACAGGGAAGATATATCTTTGATCTGGAAGGCATTGAAAATTTTTTTGAAATTTTAATTTGCTATATATAACTACATAGTTTCAGACATCTCCACTAAGCTACTCGGGTCACGACTGATCTCCTTTGAAACTGAGATGTTTACAATTTGTTGATTATTGTTGTCTAGTCACTTTAGTAACAATTAAAATACTAATATTGTGGCCACAAGTTTAAGTAGTATGAATTTGCATGCGTTGATTTTTTTCTATGAAGAATATACATCATTAGATTTCTTATACAAAGTTAAAGTGTTTGAGAAACAGCAATATTAATTAAAGGTAAAATGCATATAGTTTTAAGATCCTGTATCTTATATGTGTAACTCTACTGTCTAAAAACATATATAACATGAAAATCATGTACATGCCACTACAGGTTGGTGCATTAGTATAATTAATCTCATTTGATTCTAATGGTTTACTGAAATGATTCGAGTGTTTACACCAATCAGCTTTAGATAAAAACTTTCACCTAGCTCCATCTAGTACGTTTTAGAATAGGTTTAATTAATAATAATTTCATGAATTGATTTTATTGATAGTAATTTAAAGACTTATTATCTCCCCTGGATAGATTAACGTGTAAATCTTAGTTAAAAACATTATTCAGTTTCCTGTACATGGTAATAAATGTGAACGGTTATGTTTGGTTCAAAGCGAAATCACTTTATTTGTCATGAATGTGAAAAGTGTTTTCAGACATTAATGATTAATAGTACTAAATTCATGATGTTAAATTTACTGTAGAAATTCGTATCATCGGTTGATAAGTTTAATAAATTACATTAAGTTTTAACCATCTGTCAACAATAACTTCTGAAATTCATTTTAACTGGAACATTATTTCCATTTCAAGCTTACATCGTTTATAAACCAGATAGAACTAGAAAAATGTTTCTTTCTTGAATGGAACTGTTATATCCTAGCGAAGATTGAATTACGAGTAGATTCTGAGAACTATTAATGAACTAATATTATCTATATATTCTTATGGTATAATTATTCAGTAAATAGATTAACATATCTATATTCCTCTTATTACAAGCTTTATTTTGACCCATAGATTATTATTGTACGATTTGCTGTTCTTAAGTTATACTCAGTTTATTAATTACTGTCTCCCACGTTCACAGCCACTTTTTGGCTTTATTGTGTATAAATGTTACATCCTATTTTGTTTTACGTTTCGGTCTGTTTGGTTGATAATATAAACCTAGTATGTCTGAAATAAATTATTCGCATAGTAGAGGCTGTTGTTGGCATTTGGACTCAGCTGGACGGGCTAGGCGAGCAACGGACCAATAGGACGCTAGGCTGATCAAATCGAACTAACGTCATTGATTTAGTACAATACAAGGGCGAATAAGTCGTATTTTGATTGACGAATAAATTACGTGATAACTAGCAGATCATAATGACCACAACAGGAACTCTTTAAAATCATAATACCATCATTCTGACAGTAATGTAAGCTAACATTGTGGGATTACTCTAATTCGAAGATTCAGAATTTAAATGTTCACATTTCTGACTGAAATTAATTTATGAAACATAGTTTGATTACTATGGTTATATAATTATCCATACTGTTTTTCAAAAGTTCTCGTCACCGATGTTAAATTATCAAGAAGAATGATTTTGAGTTTTATGAATGGTGATGCAAAATGTGCCAGTAAATATAAGCTTTGGAATCTCCATAGTCATTTTATAAGGTAGTATAGTCAAATTATTGAATCACATGAATTTATCACAACCATGTGCATCTATGAAATCAGCTACTCCTGTGAAGAAAGTCATATCGTGCATGCAGCCATAAAGCTTAGCCAATGAGTTATTGAATATCTCCTAAGTATTTGTATTCTTAAGCAATTTGTAACATTCTTATCTCCTCCTTTTCTAACCAAGGCTTACCTAAAGATTTTGCTTATTATTATTATTATTCTGGATGTCTTTTGTTTGTTTATTTTCCTTCACCCTTTCTCTAAAATGTTCTTCACTGTCTAGTAATTTCAACACTTCTTATTACGTAATTTTAATAATCTGAAGTGAATATTTTTAGTTTTTTGAACTACTTCCTAATTTGAAACACTGATTCAAGGTTTTATTATTATTATTATTATTATAACAACAATTCACCTGTTGTCATGCTAACAGTTTTTAATTTTTACTTATTAAGTTTATTGATATAATGTACTTTAATGTTACCATTGTCTCTAGAACTGTCATGACGATAAGAATTTAGTTACAAACAATATTGTTCATTCACTTGATAATGTTTGTTTGAATCTTCTCAATGATGTTTAGGACTGTAATTGATCAGTCTCATGTTGGCACATGTGCATACTCAATATTGTCTTAGTTCACAAGTATTATATGCAAAGATAGATAGTGGCTAGCAGTGGAATCCAATTCGCGCGTTTTGTCCTATGTGTGACTCATCAGATGGAGGTGCCTGCATCTCGTAGATGATGTTCACTCTGGGACTCGGACCCATTATCTTTCGCTACAAACACTATTTCGTTATCCACTTAGCTACTGAGTCTTGATAGTCACTTGCTAGTACAATGTGTTGAAGTTTAGATTCAGTTAGTATTGTTTGCTTGAATCTCCCCACTGATGTATAGGTCTGCAATTGGCCAGTCTCTTATTGGCATATGTGTATGCTGTGCGTGTTGCCTTGATATTGACTTGATTTCTAAGCTAAATGGATAACGCAGGTACATCCAGCTGACAAGTTGCAAATGGGATGAAACGCGCGTCCTGGATTCCACAGTTAGCCACTATCCATCTTCGCATATAATATTGTTTATTGTTTACAAGAATGAAAATTCAAATATTTGTGTTACATAAATATTAGAACAGTAATGAAGACAGAATGTATTACTTAATGTTCATTTAAACAATAATTTTTACGTTCCACTTTAATACTCCATATATATATATATATATATATATATATATATATATATATATATATATACTAAAAAAAGTTTTCGAAACTTTGTTTAAATGATGTATTAAATTTACAAACATAAAGTAATTAATTTTAGTAATAAAAACGATTTCAATTAAACCGAACTCTTCTTTTACATCTGAAAATGAAAAATTTGCAAAAACATTTTTTAAGTAAAGAATTAGTGCTTTTTGAATGATTGAGATCATGAACCTATGGATGTTAGACCATTATTGAAAACCGTTTCGTCCAATTGTAAGACTTCTCAGCCATGAGCATCCACGATCCCGCTCGCGGGATTTATTTGATTTTTTGACAAGAGAGGAAGTTACATGCTTTATTTTCTATTGAAATGACCAAAAATTAGTTAGACTGAGGATAGCCATTTTATACGGATTCAAATACCTAATAGTTTACGGGGGGTTTGTTTAGTAATTTAGATCAGATAGCAACAGTTTAAGAATGATAACCTTTTTTGCAGTCATTGAGCCAAACGGAATTCAATAATAAGTATTTGGAGATTGTGAGATTATTAGGTGAATTGTTGAGATCCGAAACTATCATTCCAGATTTAATGAACTGGGATTAAACAATAAAGATTCTATACTACATATTTACTTGCAGAATTAAAAAGCAGTCACATATAATGTAAGACTAACAAATAAAGCGGCGTAAGTATATTCTGATCCTAACTCCTTGAACTTATAGAACATGAAGTTGGAATTACTGAGAATCTAATTAGCAAAATTGTATGAAAGATAATATCACAACTCAAATATTTAGTAGGCATAGATTAATCTATATGATTTCTAGCCACACTCTAAGCATGAGGGTTATGATTACCCAAACAGAAGTGGTAAAGAGAGGTTCAAAACTGTTATTCAGTGCATGGATATCAAACACCTTAACTACCAAGCCATCACTTTTCCCTGTACTCAGTTCCAGACTTCATATAGTGTTCATTTCACATATTTACAACTATTCATATAGGACATATTATGTGAGACCATTCAAATCTCAGTTAAACGAAATATAGAATTTAAGCTTATTATCTATATTCTTGCTACATAAAATTTCATATTTGATGTATATAATAAACGTCTAACTTAAATATGGTTGTTTTTCTATAATTTACCATTTATCATAGAAAAATTACGAAAATGTCCTATACTAAAAATGTATCGCTTACATTTAAGTCGACCGTATCTATGTTCATAAACACATGTGCATCGTCTGAAAATAACATGAAAATTGAAGAAAACGAAGCATAAATATACATTTGAGTTTCATTGCAGTTAGTTATGTAATCAGTTTGATACTCCAAAGTTGTAGAAAATACCACGTTGAAGTAAAGAAATGAAAGTCTGCAAAATGCAGAGTTATTCACCCAACTGAGTATTTGTTTCATTTGCAAGAATTTGTTTCAGTAAACTACTGTAGTGAACAAGGACATAAACGGGACAACCAAATGTACTTGAATAAAAAAAACTACAGAGTTATTTGTTCATATATTCAATAATTCATTTGCGAAATGTCCATCAATTGTCTTAGATTCTGTCTTTCCTCCGTCTCCATGCCAATCACTCTGTTTCTGTACTCTTTTATTCAGTCTTTTCAATCTTTTACTGTCAGGTATTCCACTTTCGATTCGTGTTACATACTACTTATATCTGTTGAAATACGTAGCACACAACACACTATCAGTACTGAATAAATTACTTGGTTCGGTTATTGCTTATGAGTAATAAATGTCTAATGTATTTACATTCCAATATGTTAAACTGTGAAGATCTAAAATTATCGTTTTGTCATATCAGACAATAAATAGTCGGAATTTCTGGAAATCATCGTTTCTTCCTTAACATATACTTATTTATCCTACAGTTCTCTCGCAAAAAACGTTCATAAAAAGGTTAAAGTAACCACATTGATTCTGATTATAGTAACATGTAATCTATAGATATTAGAATTTAGTACAATCAGCATTTATATTTACTGTCATGCTTTCGTTAAATAAAACAAAAATATTACCCTATTCACTAGGAGTAATGATAGTGCTATGGCGGATAAGCGGTAATTATCACAACACTACATGGTTTAGTGACCGATTACCATGTTTATATATATTGGCAGTAGGCATTTATTCTAGCGGAACAGTACGAATATAATTAAATGTATATGTATATACAATTAGCAATAAAATCATTTATGATACCTCAGTGTTAGTTATATTTCATCCATAAAAACTATCCATCTGTAGATATAAAAAAGCACTAATTACTCACAGTGATTGAAATTCCTGTAAAAGTGTGTAAAGGTAGCTTTTCATTCCTTTTAAATATGACTTAACTAATATTTGTGTTCAAGTAAAAAAAAGTTCAATGTTTTCATACATAGTCATATTATTTTTTAAAATAATAAATTACCATACAAGCCGAATCTGGATCCATGCTAGAGATTGTATCAATGTATTTGTCAATGAACATTCCTCCTAGAAATGAGCACTGAAATATAATAAAAAATATTTAGGCAAAAAAAATATATACAGATCGCGGATATTTTATTATGTTATTTAATCAATAATGAAGTTTTTGCTACAGACAATAAATACGTATAGACAAGCTTAAACTCCCTAAGCAACAATAATAGAAAATTAGATATTTGTGTTTAATTATATACATTCTTTGTATCATTACCTGATTCATTTAATCTTTTATTACTAAATAATATAAAATGGTGAAGATTAAAATGTTAGACAACGTCACCTTAAAAACACCCATTGAATGTAAGTGAAATATTTGAAACTATGGAGATGATTTTCTTGCTAGGTACTTTTTTTGTTTTACAAGGTTTTATGTTTTCTTTCATCTTGGAATGAGCGACAAACTGATATTTTGTAAAGTTTTGTATTTGAAATCAATTTACTCATTTTCATGACTGTTCATTATTAGTGTAATTTTTAAGCAAAAGCCAAATAACAAAATGATCAACTCTAATATGATCAATCAATATAACAACAGATTTGATTTGAATTTTGTTCTCAATTGATAAAATGTAGCAAATTAAAACGTTTTCTTGTTTCATCTTTGGATAATTATAAATGTCATCACAATTGATCGATCACTGGGTGATGATCAATGTCATGTGTCAAGTCCTTCTTAGTGCAGATTGAGATTTGAATATATTAGATGATAGTATGATGTAGACTATGTAAGTTCAGTCTTTCTTATATTTCTAACAACTCAAAGATATATTTAACAGTATAAAGTTTTGGAGATCGACGAATGGATGAATGTAAGACCATCACATTTTAAATGGTGGTCCTCTAATTACTAATCAGCATGAATATTTCTGTCCTTTACTTTATTTTAGTTAACTATTCATGTCTTCAAACTAAGTGTAATTACTAACTTTTGGAAAATATTTGCAAGTTGCTGTAAGTCTAATCACTGAGTGATTCTTAAAATACAACCACTGTGGTTATTTGCATGAAAACGTATTGACGTTTTTTTGAGTCCATACATCAATTACTTTCGGTAATGAAAATAAATGTTGTGAGTATAAGACAAATCAATAACATTTGTTAATGAATTTGAATGACGACTGGTAGTACTTTAAAACTTTTGAACATATTTCCTGTGTATTTTTAAGTTAAGCGGTTATACAGTGAGGATGTTTTTATATTTTTCTAGTATATAATGTGCTTAGAACTATTTCATGCAATCAAACTTATGTTATTAAAGAAGATAAGTATTACTTTTAATCTCTTTCGCAAAAGTCACACTGGGCTTTCAAACAATAATGAGAGAGATATAAATATATATTTTGAAAATAAGAGACAATTACTGAGTCAGGATCCAAAGATGTCAAACTATAACCTCAACCAATCCACGACGTTAAGCTTTAGTGTACGAGATCAAAGATCCTGGGTTTGAATCTCGTGAGCGGGGTCGTGGGTGCGCACTACTGAGAATTCTCATAATAAAATGAAACGGTCTTCCGGTGTTTCCAAGTTTTCAATGGCGGTCTAACATCAATCGATTCATGATCTCAATCAAAAACTTAATAATCTCTACAACCCTGTACTGATTAAAGACCATTATTCTAATCTAACGGTATCCTAGTATTTTTGTTTTGTCAAATGACGACCAAATATCAAACAATTTCTATTTAAATAAGAACTAGAGGGTGCATACTAATGAATTAAATGAATTATGTAATTGGTTCAACGAAAAGTTTCAACAAGAAGACCCTACAATAAAACGAAATAAGTTAACCATGCACAACTGCTTAAAATAGAAGAAACACAAATATGAGATAGATTTGGAATTCATGGTCTTCAAAGTTAACTGAATGAGTACTTGATTTAACTTGTGATAAACTTGATAATTATTTTACATTATAATGTAACGTATATTTTGTATAATTAATATCTCTGGAAAAAAACCTAACATTTAATTATAAGTATTATATATACATAGATTGAAATTAAACAGATGTAAATCAATTCACCTGAACTTGAAAAGATCCAGTTAATGAACAAATTTTATCAATAAATTGATGTACAAGTGATTTTGCTTCTTCAGATTTACTGAAAGTTTTCAAATATGATACAATCATTTCACATGTTGAACACACTGAAATAAATATCAATATATATAACTTTTTTTGTGATAATAGGTTACAGATATGATCAAAATTTATTTAATGAAATATTTTGTATAAGAATTGATAGCAGAGTTTTGATTGAGATATTGTTGCAAATTCGGTTATTTTTTTGGGGGGGGGTGACTTGTTAAATAATCAATTTATACGAATTTTGCGAATTTTCCATGCAAAAACGATAGGTCCAACCTGTCATCCTTCTTCGGTCCTAATTCCCTATTGTAGTTTGTATCGCTTTTTTTTCATTTTTCCGTTTTTTATTTTTATTACTGCTAGTGGTTTTTTAAAGTAGTGTTTTGTAATTTTAAAATATAATCGATTATTGTTATAAATAAAGGGGGAATTTTGTGAATATTATAGTAATTTTGATAGTTGAATTCATAAGTCAATTGAAGTGCACTTCTGAGGAGTACTATTATAGAACGAAACGGCCTCCAGTTCTTCCAGGGTTTCCATGGTTGTCTAGCTTCAATCAACTCATGACTTCAACTATTAAAGTTATTATTACATTTGAACAAGTTTTCTTGATTATTATTCACTTTTTATTATTATAACTTTTATGTTTGTTGTTTTTCTTCATGTGTCAATTGAACATTCATCCGACCCGCAAATTGTTTTCATCCTTATATTCTCTCCTTACCTCCTGATTATTGCGTAATCTTATTTGATAATAAGAGTCTGGAATCTATTTATGATGCAATCTTTTCTATCCTCCTATAGACACATATTTTCCATATAACTATAAATACGAATGTACAGCTTAAGTAAATGATGCTGTCGGAAAGAAAAACATTTCCTTTGATGAATTCTCTTTATTTTTATACGGATTTCTAATTACAAGTGGTGAATTATGACAATGTAATTATCTTTATTCTTTTAAATCAAAATAACATTAGATTAGCAGTTGCCCATGTTTTTGTTTTTCTATCTAATCTCGTTATACAACGTCACTGAAATTCATTTTTTTATAAATTAAATACGAAGATAAATAAAACATTCTAATTATGTTAATAATTGAGATCATGAACCGATTGACGTTAGACCATCATTGGAAACCTAGAAGCACTGGACAACCGTTTCGTCCTATTGTGGGACTCAGCAGTGCGCATCTACGACCCCGCTCGCGGGATTTGAGCCCAAGGCCCTCAGTCTCACACGCGAACGCTTAACCTACTGGACCACTGAGCCGGCAACCAACGGTGTTAATGTCTAACGTCAACTAATCCACGGAATTGCGTGACCATCTTCCATTGCACTGAGGTAGACACCTGTGTCTGCCCAACATGGATTAGCTCCACTGGTCACGTCTAACGTCAATCGATTCATAATCTCAATTAAAAACTTAATAATCTCCACAACCCCTATACTGATAAGTATGTTATATTGGTATCAACTTACAAAAGGTAGAATTACTATGTTGAGGTGCTTCTAATGTGGATTGACACCAATTCATTACCTAAAAAAGGTAAAATTAATTACATTAACATTTTTTATTAAAGTACACAAAATAAGCATCAGGTTGTTTTAATAAATGATAAATCAATTTCAAAATAGTTTGCACAACTTACTGTTTTGAAACGATTGGATTCGATGAATTCAGTGAAATCTTTTAGGAGTATTTTTGTTTCTCTAGCCATTGAATGTTTGCACTTGAAAAACAAACAAACAAATAAATACCATTAGAAAACGTAAACAAAATATTCAGTGTTTAGTTAAATGCTTTTTAGTATAAAATAGTTATCACTACCAGTTATTCTCGAATTCCGCCTATCGACCAAAACTGTCAATAAATATCAAAGTCACAATCTTCAATATGAACGTCAAGATAGTTCTACTGTATGAAGCTGAAATGTGGAGAACTGCTACAACCATCATAAAAAAATACATATATTTATAAATAATTGTCTATGGAAGATACTGAATATTTGTTGGCCGGATATCATCAACAACAGCCTACTGTGGGAGAGAACGAACCAGCTACCGATTGAGGGGGAAATTAAGTAAAGACTTTGGAAGTGGATAGGACATACATTTCGCCAAGCGCTAATGTGGAATCCTGAAAGGAAACGGTGAAGTGTAAGATTAAAGTACATACTGCATCGAGGATAAGAAGCAGACATGAAAATGATGAATAGTAACTGGAAACGTTTGTCCAGGACAGAGATGGATAGAGAGTGCTGATGAGTGGCTTACACTCCACTACGAAGAATAACGGGAGTATTTAAGTAGCAATTCATTCTGCTCAACATAAACATTTATAAGAGAATTTTACTAAAACAGGGTTTTCTCCACATCTGTAGATAAATATGCCATTGATATTGTAAGAAACTTCATTCAATAATTGATTAAATGATGAAACATTAGATTGTAAACCTATTAACCATATTATTTAATGTCTAAATCAAACAAGGTGTATCTTTATTTAAGTACAAGTGAAAACAACACTGACGCTAAACTAACAGTTCAGTTTGAATAGTTTGAATAACAATAATATGAATTCATTTTATTGGATGCTGGCTCAGTGGTTCAGTAGGTTAAGCGTTCTCGCGCGAGACTGAAAGCCCTGAGCAAGATTGTGGATGAGCACTGCTGAGGAGTCCCTTAATTGGGTGAAACGGCCGTCCAGTGCTTCCAGGTTTCCAACCGTGGTCTAACGTCAATCGGTTCATGATCTCAATCATTTTATTTTGTTATTTCTATTTAGCTGCTTATAAGCGTATTGTATAATAATAGATAACATCATAATAGATATTTAACATTATTACTTCACTTCTATTCATGTTATCCGTTGTCATCTTCAATCGTATGTATGTACGTGTGGTTTATTCATGAATGTTTTTTTAAACACCTTTAATAGTGATAACAATTGTCATTCTATTATTCTATTATGTAATATTATGTTATACAAACACATTTGTACGTAAGAACAAACACCTAAAAAACTATGAAATAAGATCAAATCGTATCATTCTCAATCAATTGTTGTTGTGATTATAGTGAAATTCATAAAACGAATTAATGGTATATACATCATTAATTGATAATGCTGTTTGTAGTTATTTAGACATTGACTAAAGTAAATATTGTTTCAGTAAGTATTACCTATTGTGTTACTTGTTTACGAAATAGTTTGTATTTTAATTAAGTGAATTGAGAACTGGAATGTTATTTGATTCATTTGATTTAGATTAATATAACTGCTACTGGATTTCATAAATAAAAAATTGATATTTGATATCGGATCCAGTTTTAAGGAAGAATGAACTCAAATTCTAAGGAAGTAATGAATTCATATTCTATGATCTAGTTACAACACTTACAGATAACTTGAATTTCAATAGATATGAAAATTATTTATCATAATTCATATCATAAACAATCTTGTATTAAACAAAGATGGATAGTGGCTAGCAGTGGAATCCAAGACGCGCTTTTCGTTCCATTTGGGACTCATCAGCTGGATGTACCTGCATCTCAGAGTTGATGTTTACTCTGGGAGTCGAAACATTCGCTTCTAACACCATCGCGTTATCCACTTATCTACTGAGTCTTGATAGCCACTTGCTTGTACAATTGGGTGAAGTTTAATTCACATGGCATTGTTTTGCTTGTATCTTTCTATTGAGGTTTAAAACTGCAATTGATTAGTCTGTTATTGACATATGTGCAATATCGAGGCAATACGCACTGTAAACCTTATTGTTCTCATTAATTTTAGCAACTGATTATAAGTATACCAATGTTTCTTCAATCGATAACGGAAAAAATAGAAAAAAAATCATTGACATACCTGATGTTTTTTATTTAAATCATTTATATTTTCACATGTTATTGACAATATATATTCAATGATATTTTTGGTAAATTGTTCTTCCTTCATAATTTGTAAACTTTTCTCTTGTGCCAATTCTAATAGATTGCATGCTGTAAAGTTGTAGATATATGTAAAACAGTTATTGTTTCTATAAAAGTTAGCTAAGCAATTCACTAATATAATCAGTGATTAAATACTTGAATGTTTCTAACTGAAATAATGGAAAATGTAGCTTTGTATTTGACTTCTATAGATTCAATTATTATAAAACATCTCATATTCACTACCAGTGACAATTGTATATTATCAATGACAGTTTGTCAGTAACTTTAAAAAGTTCATTGATAATGTGCAAATTCTGAAATATCACAAAGAAACATGGGGACGTCATGTATAATGTCAAAGTGAACAAAGAAATCTGGACTAGACACCACAATCACAAAACGCATCCCACTCGACTTGTTGGATACCTTTCAACTACCGCCAATACCTCCAACAGAGAAAACTAAGTCATTCACTCAAGTAGAACATCCTTCTGGTTCTGGGTGGTTACCTCGAAGGTCGGGTCGCAAAGGAAGACAACCAAAGAAATTTCAAGAAAACCCTCGGTTACGTCGCTATTAACTCTTCCAAAGGGAGGTGTTGGGGTATTCAGAAAATACCCCAGAAATTATCTAATGCCATTCCTGAATGAGAAATGGTGTCAAAAACAAAAGTGATGTCTATGGTCAGTGATAAACTACATAGATTTTGAATAAGTTGGTGATTTTGATAACCTATAACCCAAGTACACTAAACCAACTAAAATGATTTATACTGAATGTGAATCACAGTTTAAATAACAAAACTCAGATGTAGATATATTCCACGTATAAAGAAACCTCTGCCTTGGATTTCATATCATAAATCTAATTACAATATCTTAAAAACTTCATTGACATTTCTAGGCTGCATAGATATCAAATGAAAGATATGGTTTAACAGATGTCAGAAGTTTACTTAACTCTAATCGATTAGAATTGTTTGGCATAGATTAACATTTAACTTTATAATATCTACGAAGGTGCTCTTATTTAGTATTTTCACTTCAAATTTATTTCTTTAGTTCTTCTATGACTGTTTATAGTGAAATGATCGGGGTGTTATTTTTAATGTTAAACTGTGAATTCTGAATGACTTATAGAACTCCGCAATGCACATTCATCCAAATAAAAAAACATTAAAACATTCTGCATTAAATCAAAAATTGAATGATTTTATGAAAGTTTGTTAGTGTACTTGTTAATGTATATGCACTATCAGCAACAACCTACTAAGGAACAAAACAAATCAAATCTAACCGGAGGTAGAAATCCGGAAGAAGCGCTGGAAGTAGATAGAACACACATTCAGGAAAGCACCCAACTACATCACAAGGTAAGCCATCATATGGAATCCTCAAGGCCAAAGGAGAAGAGGAAGACCAAAGAACACACTACGCCGAGAAATGCAGACAGACATGAGAAGATTCAACAACAGTTGGATAGAACTCGAAAGGAAGGCTCAGGACAGAATGAGTTGGAGAATGGCCTATGCTCCATTGGGTGTAACATGCGTAAGTAAGTAAGTTGTTAATATTTACTACTCTATTATGCCTACAAATATAGACTTTTATAAGTATAAAATAAAGTGTGATGAAATGTACTATTTTCGTCATTGTAGAAACTGTTCTCATAAAATATTATAATGTCTAGCTTTCTCCTTACGTAATATAATTTCATATAAGAATCTTTCTAAATAGTCTTCACTTCTATTGAAGTAAATCACTCTAGTTAAATATAGTATAGAATTTTACATTTAATTTACAGTTAATTAAAAAGTTCTATATACACAAAAACGATAACAATAATAGTTCAACATTTAATTCACAAACTTACCTACATCTTTATAGCCAAAATTCAACTAAATTGAATATATATATACATATAAATATATTAGTATCAGAATGGGTTTTGTGGATTTTATATTAATTTCAATGGTTGAGATCATGAGTTGAAGTTAGACCAGTATGGAAAACCTGGAAGCACTGGGGTTCGAATCTCACGGGGGGCAGGATCGTGGGTGCGCACTTCTGAGGAGTCCCACAATACTGCATCCAGGTTTTCCATGGTGGTCTAGCTTTAATTGACTCACGATCTCAATCACTGAAAAAATATTAATTAACTATTTAATGAAAAGGATCTTATAGAATCATTGAATATTTTTCAAAAATACAAAATTTATATCGTATTACATTAGAATTGTGAATTCGGTTAACAATATAGATTATATAATTAAGTAGTCTTGAAATACTGGAACCCGGTAAAGTTCTATTGAATGGAGATATATGATTTAATAATTGTATTATTTCGTTATGCAATTACAGAGGATTGTAATATAAAGAATCAATTATCGTTTAATTAATGAATTCATTGTCCTAATAGGATTATTTATTGTACCCACCTACAATCAATGAATAGTATAACAAACTCATCATTTTAAGATTTTTGTTGTGGTTGATTAATTGGATTAAAATAATAATGAAGTCTATCATTAACACTATTGATTATGATATGATTATATAAGCTATTATCAACACCATTAGTTTCATAAATTTAACTTTATACAATGAATAACATTACCTCAGATTGCTTGATTGAAGTAACCAAACCTAGAATAGTTTATTATCATTATTATTATATTATAAGTAGTGTGTAATTGGTTTACCTGTTGTAAAAATGGTTAATATGAAAAAACTAAACATTCTTGTTTGTATTTGATTTCGAATAAATTTAAGGTAAAATTATTAAAATTGAATCACTTTAAATATTATTCTTATTTATTTTTTGGTCAGATTTTAGTGATCAAGTAGTTTAGATCATATTTTAAATTTATAAACTGGAACAAGGTTCATTTGAAGAGTTCTTTACCTTCAATAATATATATATATATATATATATATATATATATATATATAATGATAATAATACTAAATTGGGCTTATGATTCTAAACAACAGTTTATTGTATAGTAATTGTAAAACTGTTTGATAATGAGCAGTTGTGTTTTTTAAGTGTTACTAACCTTTGAGATTTCAGATTCCATAGAAAAAAAAAACTATCATGTGAAATAATAGTAATTAGTATTTAGTTTATTTTTGAAAATTGGAATTACTGAATAATGAAAAAAATGTCTTTGAGTATATTATTGAACTATGTGAAATATGTTAGCGACTAAATTGTAAATTGTTTAAAAATCGCCATTATATTAAATGACCAATATTTTGAACGATCATCAACATCATCGGGAACTGATATGATGGACTAAAGTGGAAAGTGGTGCATGGAGGACAACTGACTGACAGATGCACTACAAGTAAGGACCGGAGTCAAACAAGGCTGTCTTTTATCTCCCTTCTTCTTTCTTCTGGTGGTCGACTGGATTATGAAGATCTCCACATCGGAGGGGAAACACGGAATACAATGGACAGCTCAGAACAAATTAGACGATTTGAACTTCGCAGATGAACTAGCCCTCCTATCTCATACACACGAACAGATAAAGACAGCCAGTGTAGCAGCAATCTCTGCATCAGTAAGCCTCAACATACACAAGGGGAATACCAAGACCATTAAATACAACACAGAGAATACCAACCAAATTACACTTGATTGAAGAACTCTGAAGGAGTACCTCGACACCATCATTGATGAAAAAGGAGGATCAGATGCAGATGTAAAGACGAGGATTAGCAAAACAAGGACAGCATTCCTACAATTGAACGACATATGCAACTCAAAACAACTGTCCACCAACCAATATCAAAGTCAGAATCTTCAATATGAACGTCAAGACAGTATTAATGTACGGAGCTGTAATGTGGAGATCTACTACAACCATCATCAAGAAGGTCCAAGTATTCAAAAAAAGTTGGCTGGATACCATCAGCAACAGCCTACTGTGGAAGAGAACAAACCAGCTCCCAGCTGAGGTGGAAATTAGGAAAGGGCATTTGAAGTGGATCGGACACACACTGAGTAAATTAAGGATTCTATTATTTAGACATCCCCATCATATTAAAAGACTAATATTTAAACGAAGAATATTATTTTTGATATATTCTCTACAGGTTCTACAGTTATATATCCGAATTAATAATTCTAAAAATGCCCCTGTTAAGGGCATAGTGCTTTTCCTCCCCTGTCCAACCTTAAGGTCAATTAATCAATAGTAATCTTAGTTATTGAATGGCCTAATTTGACTACTGTACTTACGATCTTTCGTAATCAAATGTAATTGCCTCTGTTATCCTTATTCACCAATCTCATATTATTATTATTACTATTGTTATTATTATTACTATTGGTTAAACATCATTTTTAATCTCCCCAATACATAATTCATTTACTTCGCATTCATCTCATTTTGCTATGTCTTACTAATAATTTTTTACACAATATTGCCTTCCACTAAACATTTGATTGAATTGTAATTACACTATTGTTTCTCTCACCCCATCTGACCCATATTTATTGTGATCATGGATCCTAAATTTTCACTTAACCTAAATGTAAAGTCAAGAATATATGAATCATATTAACATTAATAATTTTATTCGATTCCATTTACAATCCTAAATTTACATGCTGTAATTTTAAACGACTCACATTACCCTTAACCTGACCATATTTTCGGATGATTAATTGTAGAACCTGAAGAGAATTTATTCAAAAGAATATTCTTCGTTCAAATATCAGTCATTTAAAAGTGAATTGAAAATATGTTAAAATTGAGTATAGAATTTAGCAATAAGGATCTCTGAGTTAATTTTTTCAAAAGTATGTTTAATATAATCATCTACTAAAGAGGGAGAATGTAATTTGCAAAATCTCAACGAATAAATTTGAAGTAAATCTAACGTTTCACTTGGCAATCTGGTCCAAGATGAAATTTTACAAATACACTCTTTCTCTTTAATGTCTCACATCAACTCGGAGCCTAAATATTGTGAAACTATTTGATCAAATTTAGACGAATAGGCAAATACTAAAGAATTGAGTGGTATTTTTATTATAAGCAAAGAGAATTAATATTTATAATTCTATTATATACGAGGATCTTCAGTAAGAGTTCATTGTGCTTATTATACTAACCAGTAGAATAATATCTTAGTAAATATACTTCGATAGTAATAAATGTCACTAATTGTTAGTTACATGGACATTAAACTATAAATGTAAATTACATTTTATCGGTTCTCTTTTAATAGGTTTATTTTAACCCATGGGATTGAATATGCTAAACAAAGGTATTTTTAGTCCAATGTGAACTGAACTGGAAGCTATATGTAGTTTGTAGTTTGCAATGAATACATCTTTAAATTCTTTGATGTATATGACCGAAGTTTTTAGAAAAGTCATATACATAACATCATTTTGTTCGTTGCTAAATCTGATATGAACAGTTAACAACAACATTGTTTCTGCATCCGAATGACTGAAATTTCAAAATCCCTTCTTATGGTATAACCATTGCACGTACAGCAATAAGTTCTGAAGTGTAAGCGTCGATTCTGAACAGGTAAGTTGATACGAAGGAATACTGTCTATATAAAAGCTGAATGGTATACTCACTAGATTAGATTAACAGCATAAGTAAACTTAGTTCGTTTAAAGAAGGATGCTGTGTTAAACTAACTGTGAGAACTGTTTAAACTCCTTAGCAATTTTAAGCAACCATACCCAGTGACTAATAAGAAAATTATCAAAAAAAAGAAATGTTAGTTAAAACAGAGCGATGAAATAGTCTAGTCATTATTTAATAACACTTTATTTAAGTGCAAGCTACTGAAAGAATACATATGAGATTAACATCAGACCAAACAAGCATAGCTTTAACCTTGACTATCACTTTGAAACGTTTATTTAAAGGTGTAATCATAGAACCTGAGAAAAGAAAATGAAAGAAAATTTTTGTTTATATATGCGTCTTCTGTTTAATGGACATTTCTAAACAAGCACGGTGATGTACGGTTTCAACTAACTTAAAGCGTACACATCTTTAATGATGAAGGTTTGATACATGGAGTAGTCTGCCAGCTGTACATAATCTCATGTAAATACTTTAAATATATCACTTAAAATTGGTCAAATCTGAAACTTATTTATTCGTAGCTAAAGAATTATAATTCTGATCTGGCTTCTCCAGTAATCCATCAAAGGCCTTGTCCACACGAACGTAAACGCATGGATAAATGAATCCTATATATTAATAATGGTTCAGGAGAGATAAATTGTCAAACAAACAGCTAAGTTGACTTTAGCGGAATTACTTCTTCGATGGCTCAAGCATATCATTTTGTAAACTGAATGGTAAATCAGATGCACCATAAGATATCATCCATTAGCAGTGTAAAACGAGGATTCCAAAGTACTGGACATAATTATCTTTGAGTTGATTTTTTATGGTGGAAATACTAAATGACACTTACTTTCAGCGAAGGAGACTAGGAAAATTTGGTTATTTGTAATGTGAGAGTGTGGACTAAATTTGACATTATTGACATCATACATATTCATCTATGTCGGATGGCTATATGTTTCACTGAATAGCGCAGTAGGTTAGAATAAAACGAAGTTTGTCGACGAAAGTTTAGGGATATTTTATGAATTTTCTAACAACTATCTCAGGTTATCTAGCGAAGGGCTTAGTTCTAGGCATAGATACTATACATAATATACATTAATTATTACTTTTCCTAGATTTAAACACATCTATTAAATACTTCCTTATTTAGGATATTTTTTCCCTTTGTATTGATAATTTAGAAATATTGCCATTACGTTTTGTTTTTTTATATTATCTTCAGTAATTTACTCCATACATTATCAGTCCTCTTTTAACTGTGGTATTCAGAATTATGACAAGATAGTTCAGTCTTCCAGTGGATTATACTTGAAATGCAAACTTAACAGTGTCTTACTTTATAATATTTCAGTAGTAATTATTGAATGATTAAAAATTTGAATATGATCTACGTAAAAGATTAGCTTCTGTTAGCTTCCATTGTAGTTTCTATAAACATAAAAGAGTAACTGCCTATTGGATCTGAGTATTTTGCGTAGTAAACGATAGAACACAGATATATTTAAAATTTTTATTTATTTTTATTATCACAATGTTAACTGAGCATATAAGACAAATTTCCTGATTAAGTAGTTAAGTAACGACTGATTCCGTGGTACAAAATAATAAAAGTTCAGTCAACATTTCGTTAAGAACATCAACATTAGAGTAAATGCTAAACAGTATTCAGGCTACATGGCAAGATAAAGTATACAGGGAATATTATGGAGACTGTTAAACTTTTATAATTTTCATTACAATCTGACTTCGGTAACCATGTCTAGCATGAGACAATAACTCACCATAGACAACTGAATGCGATCTAGCGATATCAGGAATTAAATGATGTTCGACATATAATTCATCATTTCTCGATTCAATGATTTAACGGTTAGTCGTTTTCTGAGAGACCTAAATTTTGTGGGTTTGATCCATGGTAAACTAGTGGATGTTTACTGATGAGAGCGAAACAGAATCTTAGGGGTTCCTACTCACCATAGGTTGCCTAACTAATATCAGTTCTCGATATATACCATAAAACTAACAAACTGAGCCTTTGTTTTCACACCAATCACTCTCTGTTTTCGTTCTCTTCTCTTTTATCATCTTAACATTCTACCACCGGGCATTTTACTTTTGGATTAGTGATACATACTACTTATATCTGTTGGTAGCACACACTAGAGTAGGTGGCGAGTAATAATAATAATAATAATAATAATAATAATAATTGAAGTTTAAATATTATGTGAACAACAAAGCTTTATCATCATTAGAGATAAATTGACAACAGGCACTTATTAAATAAAGTGATAAATATTTATCCAATAATGTTTTTTTAAAGACTTAATAAAATCAAATGTTTTCAATTTGTGTAAAACAGTCTCAAAGCGTCCACCACGCATATCAGCTACAAAAACTGACTTGCTAGAAGAAAATAGAAAAAATATTTGAATTAGAGGTTAAATAAGAAATGAATATTTAGTTTCGTTTTTGTGAATACCACTAACTAAATAATAAAGTATAATTTTAGGTAAAGTTTAAAAGATGTCAAACTAATAAGTAAACTGTAGTTTCCACCAAAAGCTTACCCCTGCTACAAAACAAATGAAAACCAAAGTACAATTTTAAGGTGTTTTTCTCAAGGTTGGAACGACCCAGAAATGCACACCGACGAAGTACTATAACACTCAGTAGTCTATAAATTTCTCAGTTGTCAAGATGACTGAATGGTACATGTTCTTCTCCACATGGGTCATCAGTGTTCACCACTAAATAAGCTCCAACTAAAGCAAAATGGCTTTTCAGTGGTTTCTATTTCTTACTCGTTCTCCAGGCTATCTTAGTACATTTTGAAAATTTTTTAAAAACCAAGTGAATTTCATTTCATAACGCTCAAATAAAATGAGCCTTCATTTGAGTTATGTTAAGTAGTATGTTATGTGTTACAAGTAGCATCGGAAATACTGATAGTGGGAATTATATATGGAAGTACGTAACACAAACCTATAACTTGACTCATTGGATGCTGCTAACACTGGAGAATTAAGTGTCTTTAGTAAAGTTTCCTTCTCTGAGTTTGAAATCACGATAAGACTTTAAAGAACATTTTACAATTTCTTGCACGATTAACGATACATTTTCTCATATTCGATTCAAACAGTGTGTTGTTGTGGTGATGAATGATCTTCAATACTTCAGCACAAACAAAAAAGTGTTATCGAGGTTTCTACTTCAATGAAGAAATATATGAATAGCTAACCTAAATTTGTTTTAAATAAATAGCTAGTCAATTATTCATTTTTCCACCGTTTTCGATCAATATTTAGCTACATTCGCTTCCATTAGTCTACATGTATTTGTAATTGCTGAAAAGATTTACAGCTCAGATCCCTTTTTTTACCATTATGTTTTGAGGGCTCATCGAACAGTCTTAATATTCTACCCGATTCATCGGTGTTCATTAATGCAAACGTTAGGTCAATACTTGTATTGCAGTTAACAGTTTTTTTTAATTATGAACAACTGCTTGTTTTGTGATAGATAAAGATGATGATTCGATGAAGTTCTTAAATTTAACCTTTTATTTCATGCACTCATAATAATCTATTTATAATGTCCACTTTTTTTCGGTTACATAAAGCAACTGATGCATTGATTTATCCCTGTGTGTTTTTCAGGAAATTCAATGATGAAAGGATGTTACATCACAACAAGTGTACAACTTTCCTAAATATGTAGCCTTATAATTTGCTAATAACATTCAATGCAAAATCTTATTTAATTATCTTTATTGAATAAATAATCAAATTTGTGTGTATATACTAATTGAAATTGTTCAATAATCATTATCAAATAATAATAACCTACCATACAAGTATCTAATGCTTCAGTTCTATTGAATATTATAATGTAAGAATCAACTATTTGTGAAGCCACATCATAACACTAAGAATGGAAAAAATGAATGAATAAATGAAACTGTATCACATAGAATCATGAAAACTTTATATTGGTATCTATTTGTCATTTAAATTGAATATTTTATTTCATCTGTCCAAAGTTGTTGTTTCTAAGCAAACAGATCTGTTGTGTAAGGATTAATTGTAATCAAGGATAAAGTTTTTTTGTGTGTATAAAATATTGTGGATGCGCACTGCTGAGGAGTCACATACCAGGACGAAACGGCTGTCAAGTGCTTCCTGGTTTTCCACGGTGGTCTAGCTTCAATTGACTCATGATTTCAACCATTAAAATATATGTGTTTACAAATGTTGGCATGAAAGTTTCAACGTACTGAATTTATACCATATTATACGAAATTCTTAGATTATTGAATGAAATGTTTCTTGTCTTATACAGAAAAATCACATTCCTCATAGATAATACAGTATTTTGAATTATCTTCAATGAAGCATTTGAAATCATTTGAACAATTAGAATGAACCAGAAGATTACATCTAATATACGTGTAATGACAAATAAAAGTAGGCAGTAAGGGAAACTGCAGTTTTGACAAAAGTTGATTAAGTGATTTTCATCAAGATTAACCACTATTATGATTTCTTCAGACTGTGAGTCGGTCATTTACGGATATATTGTCAAGTGTTTGAATGCAGTATTTGAGTTCAGCTCACCAGACGAGTACTAGTTTAGTTAAGCTTTAGGATAAACTTTGTTGATGTTGAACATTAAATCATCCAGATCTGTGGCTTATTTACCAGATGCTTTCGAACACCCAGTATCAAGTCAAGTGAAATTACTTGACTTAGAAGCATACTACTTCCATAATCTTTAAAATTCAATAACTAATAACAATTGGAAAGCAAGAGCTTTGTCGCTAAATTCACAAGATTTTACTGAGAACATATCATGATCAATAATAATAGTGTATTTGTTGTCGAATTACCTGCTGATTTACATATAACGTTAAATAAATATTAGATTCAAATATCTGTATTTTCATGTTCAAACACTTTACTAATATTTCCAAAGTTTTATTCACAGAAATGTCCAAAACACTAGGTGGACCAAAGGTCCTGGGTTCGAATTCCCAGTGCGGAGTTGTGGATGCGCATTGTTGAAGGGTCCTATACTTGGACGAGACGGCCGTCCATTGCCTCCACTTTTTTAACGGTGTCCCAACGTTGATCCATTCATCATATCAATCTGAACTCAACAATCTGCACAACCCTATACTGTTAAGTATTATATATGTTTAACCACACAGCTAATTAAAAATCAGAACGTTTTTGAACTGAACTTGTTCTTTACTTAAATGTTAATTCAATTGCCTGACAAGCTATGAATTTTCAAATATCGAAATGAATATATTATACATTTGTTGAGATTTTCATAGTAAATGGTAGATTTTGCATAGTGTGTTAATTTCAGTGTCTAATCATGGTATAAGCGTTTTAACACGATTTAGTATTATTCTGAGTTCTATTTGGGCAGTGTAGGTTACGAACCGATTCAACCAAAAATTACTGTAAAATATTTTTATTTTATTTTACAGTAGCTCTTTCTCTACTAGCCTTTTCTAATATCTTTAGAACTTTCATGGTCAATCATATTTTTGTTATTGAACACGATGACATAAATAATGGTCATGGTCATTATTTTGTCAAATGTATATAAGTATATACTGACTGACGAGATAATCCAAAATGTTAGTAAATTTCTATAATTTAATCGTTGAAATCATGAATCGATTAAAGCTAGACCACCGTAAAAAACCTGGAAGCGCTCCACGTCCATGTCGTCCTAATATAAGACTCTTTGACAGGGTGCATCCACGATCTCGCTACGCAAGATTTGAACCCAAGACCTTTGGTTTCGCGCGCAAACACTGAGCCGGCATTCAACAGTTTTAATATCTAACTTCAACCAAATCACAAAATTTTATATAATATTAGGTAATATGACAAAACATAATATTTATAAATCTTACCTCTACTGTATGATCTTCAACTACAGAGCACATTTCATGAATAATTAAATGAATCATTTGAAATGTTGAAAGTTTTGTCATAATTTTTCTAACTGCATTAACTATCACTTTACAAAAGGAACATTTTATTGTAGATTGAATATCTCGAATGTGTATTAATGTATTTGATACGGTTTCTATTCTATATTGCTCATTTATTAACTATTACATAGATGAATTAATTAATTAAAATAATTACCTGAATACCATTTATTGTGGTATGGATTAAAACTAATAGAATTGAATTATATTAATATAATAGAAAATTACTTGTAATTAATATAGTAATAATAATAATAAAATATTTATTCATTTGTATTAATTAATTAATAGTTTTATAATAATCATTTAAAGTATCAAAAATAAATTAGAAACGTTTCAAAGTTCAATAAATAATTTCAATTGTTTATTAAAATAATAATTTATTAAGTAATAATGAGTTACGTTTAGATATGAATGATATAAAATATGTTTCATTTTGAAGTGAACAACAACTCTGGAATGCTGATGAGTCCTAATTACCTACTTACACCTGTTACTCCTAGTGAAGGAGCATAGGTCGCTCGCCAGTATTCCCCATTCAACCCTGTCATGGGCAATGCTTTTCAGTTGTTATTCATCCTTTTCGTATATGCTTCCGATTCTCGACGTTATGTGTTCTTTGGCCTTCCTCTTTTCCGTTTCCTTTCAGGATTTCAAGTTAGGGCTTATCTCGTGGTACAGTTTGGTGATATCCGTAATGCATGTCCTATCCATTTCCATCGTCTTTTCTTAATTTCCTCTTCAGTTGGAAACTGGTTTGTTTTCTTCCACAGTAGGCTGTTGCTGATGGTATTCAGACAACAGATATTGAATGTCTTGTGTAGATAGTTTTTTAAAATACTTGGACCTTCTTGATGATGGTTGTAGTAGTTCTCCCCGTCTCAGCTCCGTACAGTAGAACTGTCTTGACATACATAATTAAGATTGTAACTTTGATATTGGTTGACAGACAGTTGTTTTGAGTTCCATGTATTCTTCATTTGAAGGAATGCTGTCCTTGCTTTGCCAATCCTCGTCTTTACATCTGCATCTGATCCTCCTTGTTCATCGATGATGCTACACAGGTACGTCAAGGATTCTACATCTTTCAGAGTTTCGCCATCAAGTATGACTGGATTGGTGCTCTCCGTGTCATATTTGAGGACCTTGGTTTTCTTCTTGTGTATGTTGGGGCCTACTGATACAGAGACTGCTGCTACACTAGCTGTCTATATCTGCATTTGTTCGTGTGTACGGGACAAGAGGACTGGTTCATCTGTGAAGATCAAATTGTCCGATTAATTCCGAGCTGTCCATTGTATTCCGTGTTTTCCTTCAGATATCGGGGTATTCATAATCCAGTCAACCACCACAAGAAAGATGAGGAGAGAGAATAGATAGCCTTGTCTGATTGCGGTCCTTACTTGGAATGTATCCGTCAGTTGTCCTCCATGCACGAATTTGCACTGTAGTCCATTGATTGATTGACAAGTCCTAAATAAGACGAAACACACGTCCTGGATTCCACTGCTAGCCACTATCCATCTTGACTTATATCCTACATGAACACACCATTAGGAATAAATTATGGTTGATTTTACGTTTGATATAATGTTAAATGAATTCTATCTAGTTCGGATCTAAACACAATATCATATACTAGACATATAATATCACATATTATATAATCAATCATTGCATTCTTAATAATTTTGTGGCTTTGGACAGTGATCGTTGTTATGACGAAACGCCAAAAATGTCTTTCGACTTTTCCTCATTTACAAAAATCTAAGATTGCAGTGAATAAACTATACGTTTATTTTCTTAAATCTTTAATTTCATCATTATAGTTAACGTAAACGAGAACATTTGAAAAAATTCTTTATTTAGAAACACAAAATTTAGAATTATCCTGCATACTACTACTACTACCACTACTACTACTATTAATACCATTACTACTACTACTACCACAACTACTACGCCTGTTACTCTTAATGGAGCATAGGCCGCCGACCAGCGTTCTCCAACTCACTCTGTCCTGGGCCTTCCTTTACAGTTCTATCCAACTGTTGTTGATTCTTCTCATGTCTGTCTACATTTCTCGGCGTAGTGTGTTCTTTGGTCTTCCTCTTCTCCTTTTGACCTTGCGGAGTCCATATGAGGGATTGCCTTGTGATGCAGTTGGGTGCTTTCCTGAATGTGTGTCCTATCCACTTCCAGCGCTTCATCCTGATTTCTTCCTCCATTGGGATCTGGTTTGTTTTGTTCCATAGTAGGTTGTTGCTGATAGTGCCTGGCCGACGGATCTGAAGTATTTTGAGCAAACAACTGTTAATAAACACTTGTATCTCCTGGATGATGCCTTTCGTAGTTCTTCAAGTTTTCGCCTCATAAAGTAAAACTGTCTTGACATTGGTATCGAAAATTCCGACTTTGGTATTGATTGACAAGTGTTTTAAGTTCCGAACGCTGCTCCATATGCTGCTCTGCACCTTCACATCTACATCAGATTCACCGTGTTCATCAATGATGCTATATGATGATATATGTAAATCTTTTTACATTGTCCAAAGATTCTCCGTCAACCGTGATTCGATTGTTGCATTCTATGTTGTATCGGAGAATCTTGCTTTTCCCTTTGTATCACTTAATATCAAATGAATTTAAGATAGATTTAACAAAATAAATCATAGTACACACTGTTTTCAGTAGAGTACAAAATATAAATATAATATAAACAATAATCGAAATTCTAATGTTATGTTTTTATTTTCATATGCTTCATATGCTGTTTGTTAGATAAAGAACAAAGTTCTAGTTTCTAATAGAGTTTTTTTCTTGGAATAAACAATTATTTATCGGATAACACTTATTATAAATATTAAAAACAATAATGGATAACTCTAAACCTGACAATTTATCAACAAAACACTTGAAATATTAAAAAAAGTCAGCCATAGATAAGACTCCTACATATATGCTTTATTTTAATCATAACACGTGGAATCTTCATTATGTTCCATATTAATTGTATTGTGTTAACCTTATTAACAGGTAATATTATTTACTATACTTAACTTATCATTGTTTGTAGTGTTTTTATGGCAAAGTAATGGGATTAATGTAAGTGTAAACTATGTAGGGTATTATAATAAATTATTTCCTATGTATTTAATAAAGTGTAAATTTAATAATGTTCAGATATGACCGTTTGAAAAGATTATAGTATTGATTGATCTGTATCATAAATTATGAGTAAATCTTTGTTACCTCAGGAAAAAACATTTTTAATTTTCTATTCAGATAATGATTGGGTTTTTAGAAATAAAAGATAGTTCTAGCATTTAAACAACTTGTTAAAATTATCTAATCTATAATATATGTAGTTTAAATAAGGTCATGCAAGGTCCACATACAACATTCGGAGAGATTATGCACACATACATACAAATTTATGCAACAACTTAGAAAACTTTGTAATATGGATAGCGGCTAGCATTGGGGTAGAGGACGCGCGTTTCGTCCTAGGTGGGACTCATCAGCTGGACGTATCTGCATATCAGAGTTGATGTTCACTCTGGGACTCGAACCTAGTACCGTTCACTTCAAACGTCATCGCATTATTCACTTAGCTGTTGAATTCTGATAGCCACCTGCTTGTGCAATAGGGTGAAGTTTATATTCACTTTGTGTTGTTTACTTGAATCATCCCATTAATATTTAGGATTGCAATTGATCGGTTTCTTATTGACATTGCTAGTCACTATCAATATATTTGCTTATAATCCTTGTGAATTAAGGCAGTATTGACGCAATACGCATATTCTGCATATATGCTAATCAGTGAATAATCAATTGCAGTGCTTAACATCAATGTGAATATTTAAGTAAACAATACAAAGTGGGTTCAATGTATAATGTACGTACAAACATTTTGAAATAGGATGATTATTGTTCAACTTATATAAAATAAACAAACACATATCTCACATGAAATGTAGAAATTAATAACTGGATGATTTCTGTTATTTAGTGTCTGAAAGAAATATCATCTTGCTTTATAGCAGTTTCAATGTACAAGGGTACTTATTAAGCAATCGTGGAACTTTAAATTAAGAAATCAGGGCAACTAGGCATTTTCTGTCTATAGATATTTAAAATAGTTAAAATAACCCATTGTGTCAATGAATAAAGACTATTGAGAGAGAAAAGCTTTTGAACAAAATCATTTACATTCGTATTTATTGTCGTATGGTAAATATGTCTATAGAAGGATAGAAAATATTACATTATAAAGTGATTCTAAACTCTAATTATCAAATGAGGTTGCGTAATAATCAGAGGGTTAGATAAGAATAGAAGGATGAAAATGATGAAATGTGATTGTCCGCTTGATAAATATGAAGAAAAATAAGGAAAAATCTACACCGTCAAAAGAAGTAGATAGAAGAGAGGATAAGCCGAAAATTTATGCACTACTGAGGCGCTGGCAATCTACCAATTCAAGACCGAAATCTGATTGCAAATACTATATGCACGACCTCTCATCTATGGCCCTAATTCCCTTCTGTAGTATCTTTTGTTATTCTATATCCCAGTCTTTTGTTATTATTATTTTATAATTTTAATCCCTTATCATTTATCATCATCCTTTGACAGTTTTTCATGATTGTTATTATTGTGACCTTTACGTATTTTTTTGCTTTTCTTCATATCCGAATGGGGATTTATAAAGATTGTAGTAACTTTAATAAATGAATTCATGAGTCCAGCTTGTCAATGGTAGTCTAGCTTATATCAACTCATGAATTTAACTACCAAAATTTTTTCATATTTGTCAAGCGAATAATCACCTTTCATAATTTTCACCCTTATATCATTTTTATCCTTCTATCATTATCTACCCCCCCTGATTGTTACAAATACTCATTTGATAATTGGAGTCTCAAATCACTGTATGATCCAATCTTTCCAATCTTCCAACAGATTGTATATATATGTAGACCTATATATCCGTTTAAAAATGTGCCTTGTCGTTGATTAAAATCTTTTGAATTCCTTTTTGCACAACATTCAACGATGTTTCAATTCCTGTTATGTATTACTTGTCTAGGCCAAATCATCTTTGAAAATAGATGATAGCGAAATAGGTAAGTTAAAAGTTTGCTATTTGTAACTATACAATATGTTTATCGTTAGACTGTGAAATATGCATGGGAGTAGTATCTCTTGGAAAACTGTTTCTTGTGTCACCAATCATGGATAGTATAAAGAAAATGGTTATAGGAA